ATAGATAGATAGATAGATAGATAGATAGATAGATAGATAGATAGATATTATGTTATACTTTTAGGAGACTTTCAGTGGATCAAACATAGGAAAAAGGAAACTGTATTGTATTCTAAATGTTAGCTGACAATATGCTGTCACCAGAAAAAAGAAGGTAAACTGTAACTTGTGTATGTCCCTTCACTTTTGCCTATCTTGGCAGATGGACAATAAAATCTATGTTCCTTAAGCTAATATTGTGACCCAGTGTACCATCAGAGCAAGGGAATGGAAGAGGAGTACTTAGAATAGTCAGATCATCATCTTGAATTAAAGAAGAAGTACTGCTGCTTGCATCATAACATATTACCCTTTGTCACTAGACTCCTTGAGAGAAGACGACAACGTTCTCGCCCCTCCCTCTCGTCCCCATCATCATGCCTGAGCTGGGCTCTGTCCAGTGTGTCAGTGACTCAGTATCAACGGCCGTGTTCCCTCATGGCCTGACTGAGCCGGGCTAACATGCAGGGACAGGTTGAGTCATGTGGCTGGAGACACTCCGCTGGCGTGTTGCTTGTCTCTTCACCTCACCGCAGTCTCTGGGATGCAGCCTGACATCGGACCATGGAAGCGCTGCGAGTGCCCCTTTCCTCACTGTGACACAGGACGCCAGAGTTCAAGAACACTGCACATGTTATAGTTTCTCAGGCCGGTTGATTCCACTCGTTGGTGTCGGGCTGTATTTGTAACCTGTTGGGCTAAGGCAGAGTGGCCACAGAACTGACTCTGTAGGGTTATCTGCTGGCTTTTGTTGTTGTCAAAGCAAGCAAGTGCTACGGCTCAGGTAGAAGTGAATTGCAATGAAAAGTAAAAATAGTGCAATGTAAAAATGTCTTCAAGAGATATAACAGCATTACTTTTCGGATTTAAAGTTAATTAAGTATTAAGTAATTGAAAGAATTAAGTATTAAGTAATTGAAAGAAAACTCTTTAAAAAAAACTTGATTCACCGTTTGAGAAAGACAATCAAACAATGAATAGAAAAACCAAGGAGTATTTCATCAGATAAATGGATTAATTAGATCAAGAACATCAGTCCAACAAACCAGAACGCCAAAATATTATCAATATAATCGGCAATCGGTTGTGATAAATTTAAAAAGTATTAGTGTATTGCGCTGAATTAAACTGAATGGGGTTCATACCAAAATAAGCATTTGGAAATTGGCCAGTAGCTAAGAAGAAATCAATTCATAACTGGTCGTTCATCACACAGATGCCATCAATTTGTTTTACAGCGATTGAACATTAAATATACCATATCTTCATATAAATTTCACTAAGGCACTCTACTCCTAAAATACAAATATGTTACAGTGGAAGCCTTGGAATAACTGATGATTTTCAAAAATGAAACAACTGAATTGGCTGTACAAATGTTGTTTCTCTCTATTTCTGTCCCCCCCCCCATTTTTGCTTCCAATTATTTGGAGTTGTGGTTGGTTTATGGTGCAAAACTACATTTTGTTTGCCTTTTTCCATGCTGTTTTAGCACCCCTGATGGCAGTATTGGAAGCAGGAGGGGTGATGAAAAAGCGCTCAGACATGAGATTCCAAAATGTCGACACCCTATGGTGCCCCTGGAAATTTCTCTGAACATGATGGCAAGATTATCCAAGTCTTTACCCCCTGCAGTTAGGAAATTATTTGCTCTGTTCCTGGAAAGAAGTTGTTACACAAAATAAAGCAGCACCAGCACCTTTACAAAGAGAATTAAGGCAACTTCAGACTTTCCCCTCATGGGTTCACTCTTTCGGAATTAAACGCACTTTACATTCAGGCTGATACTACTTCGCCTGGGGCATTCACACTTGATGATGCAGATATAGACTTCTTTCCGCAATCTGTGTCCAGCCTTTGTCAGGGAAAAAGCCAGACAACAGTTAAACCGGTCTTCCGAACAGCTCACTGAATCAGTGTGCTTTAAAAAACACACTTAAAATAGACCCCAGTCTCCATCTTGGCTGAGGCTGACAGACAACCCTTGACTGTGTGAATTATATTGGCATTTACAATTCCGCATATCGCTCTGTGTGCTCCTCGTGTTTGCCGCCATGAGGCCCTTGGTTCACTGCCCCCGCATGCCTCAGCCTGAGTCACTCTGCATTAATGCAGCAGTGGCTTGATAGAACCAAAGAACAGACCAATAGAGGGCTTTGGATGGAGGCAAGTGAGCCACGCGGGCTTTTGGGACCTCAGCGCCAGGATGATGTAACCGTATCTCCCGGTGGAGATACCTCTCCTCTTATCAGAATAAGAGCAAGGACATCACACACAAATGTCCACTAAATCAGTCATTTCTTTTACTCAACACTTTTCGCTCACACATTTGCCAGAATGACGTTGAGTATTGGGACTGAAAACCGATGTATTTCTGCACTGTTCATACCATTTCTAATCACTACTACAGGGTTTCAAATGGCCTCCACCTCTTAACTGGTCAAACTGGTCAAAGGCAAGAGGCTCTGAGAGGACTCTGAGAGCACTGCCCTGGCTGTGTCATAATGGCTCAGGTTTAGCCCTGTCAGATGTGAGAGCACCAATTGGAAAACACAAACACTGTGGAAATGGAACAGAAAAAAAGTACATGAAGTATAGAAGTTGGGTTTTCATTTTCATTCCAGGTCGATGATCTGAAATTCTCACGGTATGAAAGAAAAGTTTCATCCTGCTTTAAATTTGTGTTGCCAAAAAGCTTGCAAACAGGATGAAATGACACAATTTCACAATTTTGATAAGAGCTGGTCAAATGCTATGAATGCAACAATGAAGAGCTTCCTGCTTTCTTCTTTATCTTCTCTCATACCTTCATGTTTGCATGTTCTTCTTATTTTCCCTCATGAAAGAGAAGGAGATTACTCCTTCCATCAACTCCTCACTGCTGCAACTTAAATTCCGACTCAATCATTCTCATAGTCGCACTAACTGTGAGTCACATGCATAGATAGGGCATATATCCGTAGGGACTGTCGGATTAAACTGCATTAATCAAAATAAGAAATTGTACATAACTTCCTTCTATGATTAAATGTTGAAACCCTAGGGGATCCATTTCTTGTACCTCCCTGTTATCTGTGAACACGTTCCAGTTCTGTACTATTTAGCAGTCTTCATGAGATGAAGAAAAAAAATGGAAAGTCCTTTTCTTCAAACAAATGAAAATAAGCCTGAAATTATCATATTTTTTCTAATCCCTCTTCATAAACAGTGTTAATAAATGCGGTGATCAAACAATAAAACTCTCTTCTTGAGTCTTCTGTGTTGTAAAGGTCCTTTCTTTAAATCTACGGATCAAAATCAAGCTTGAAGTCTTTTTTTCAAAAGGGAAACATTGATCCATGGTTTTGTCTTTTTGTTAGAACTGCTGCCCTTTCATCAAGTGAACCTCTATCAGGACCTTATAACACTGTTATTTCATAGTTGCAGTTTCTGTTTTTACAATAGTCATGACTTTCATGTTGTATTTTTAACTACCCACAGTGTTAAGCATTTTAATATTTCTTATTTTCTTTCACCATCTGAATGGAGAACACTTGGATAAATCTTTGGATATTTTAAGAAAGTTACAAATATGGTCCAATGTGTCTTTAGGGAGAGTATATTCTATGAAAACAGGGAGATACCAAAAATAATTTCATGGAAATGAGAGCACAAAACCCTGAAATCTTACGATCCACAAAACAGAACCTCAGCTCTACTTCAGGCTGGCTTTTGTAGAAGAAACATAGTCAGGCGAGATAATACGAATCATTCCACAACTGGGCTTCTGCTGCGAGTGTGCAATGCTGGTGGAACTCAAGAGTTCAGTCCTGGCCACTTGAGCCCACAGCGCATCAGGATCAACACATACCAAAAAATACCCCAGAAATGTCACACAATCCTGCCATTTTCAAACAGTGGTTGTCATTTATTTTTAAGTTAGACATATCAGGTTAAAAAGGTTTGTGTTACAAGCGTGCAAAGGAAAAAAAAGAAGAAAAAAAAAGAAGACTTTTTACAGAGGTCATCCCAACTGTAAGAAAATACAGTGAGAAGTATGAACTGTTACTTCCTACTGTTCCCAGTAAAATTGGATTGTCTAATACATTCTGCCATCACACTCTGTTAAGCGGCCATTACAGATTCTGTGATGTCGCTCCTCTTTTTTTAGTGCTTTTTACATCCAGTTTAAAAACATATTAATGACTGAAAACATTAACATTCTGTAAAAATCTCTATGGATTGTGCTCTCTCTCTCGCTTACTGCCAACCGTCTCATCAAATCTGGATGCTTAAAAGTATCATAAAAGACATTAGAAAATAAAATCTTTACTCTTCTTCCTTGGCCTTTGTGGTGAGTTACTGACATTGACTGCTACATAAAAATGCAGTTTAAACCAGCCTCCGTGGTACATCCTTCCACCTCTGTTGAGTTTCCCCCATACAGTTCATCATTATTATGTGTCTCTGAAGAAAACCGACAGATACCCTTCAAACAAAACCACAATAATCCTTAAATAAATTAAGAGTGTGTTAAAAGTCAGCATAGCACATCCACTTCTGCTCAGTAGTGCTAGGTGAAGCTAATTTCACAGTAAACTGCATCAACACCCTCGACCTGCAATTCCCTGATTCTACTCACAGCTTCACATATGAGCACGACTCGGACTCAGCTCTTTGCCCCCTTTGCCTTTCCTTTCTTCCGTTAGGACAGGAGGATCTTGACTGCGTAGAGCAGTATCCCGCCCAAACCAGCGGTGGCGGCGATGGCCATGACCCTCACTAAGAGGAAGTCCATGGAATCTTCCAGCTTTGTGTGGAGTCGCAGGACCTGCCGGTGGGTGTCCTCGCGGCTGCCCGAGTTCTCGACAACGTGATTGGCCAGGCCGCGCTTCTCGTTGAGCGGCATCTGCGCGGCCACGCGCTGCTCGGCCTGCTCCCGGGTCAGGCCGTCCCTCTGCATCAGGCGCTGGAGCTGAGTGGCCGGGTCGCTGAAAACGGCACAAACAGTGGAGGTTATTTTCTGCTGCTGCCAGGGAGCCCTGTCAGCGGCTCGTTTTTTTTTTTAAGGCATGGAGACAGACGGGGAAGGGGTAACAAGCAACTCCCAAAACTTCAGGCTTGATGGCACTGCTTGTGTCAAAAACTTTCAAAACATGTAATGAATTCAAATGAAAACACAAAGCAAAAGGGCTGACTTGCGGGAATGGCAAAAGTGAGCAGCGGATTTACCAATAGACCACCACCGTGTGGTTCAGAAACTTAGTGAGACGTCTGGTTTCAAAGAGAAGGGGCACATCCAGCACCACGTAGCGGTACCCTAAGGAGTCATGATGAAACAGAATGAATTAGTGTCAGCACATCAACACTACACGAACACCAGTAACACATTGAAGTTACAAACCCATACTAGAGCATTAAGATTAATTGAATGAGATTTAAGATATGCTCAGTTTCCACAATCAATGTGCAGAGAATGCTTTCCTCCCCAATCATTACGCAGTGTTTTCAAATGTATCTCATTATTACCACAAAGAATGATTTTTAATCCTTTGTTAAAAGCTCCTCCGCAGAAAAACAGCCTTAATACACAATCAAGTGATTTACTTTTTGATCTAGTTAACCTCGAGTGAGCCCCAGCTTCATTCAGATCTCACCTCTGAGAAAGTACAACAGGATCTCTTTAAGCATTAGTTTGTGAATCTCTGGGTGGGTGATAGAGTTCAGCAGCTTCCTCTTTTCCTCACTGGCAAAGATGATTTGGCCCAGCTTCTCCCTGTCGATCTCCCCGTTCTCTAGAAGGATTTCTGGCCCGAAGTGGTAGACGATACGGGAATAGGCAGGAGTGTGCTGCTCCACCACTGATAGCAGAGTAGGGCAGAAATAGTTAGTATTTTTCACTTTGTTGTCGTTTTCACAGCAATAAATAGCCCATGCATAAAACAAAATTAGCGTGTTGTAGCCCTACCTGTGCATGAGACCAGGTGGAAAAAAACCCGGATTCATTAGCTGAGTGTATTCATGTGTCATAAAAACTTTCATGCAGCTACACGCTCTTTACTGGCTTTTTTGACCTTTCTATCCTCACTACAGAACGAAAACATCCTGCCTGCAGTCTACAGAGACATCCATCATGATTCATGCACTCTCTCCGAGCGTTTGTCTTAACGAACCCAGTTTATCTGAGAGACAGTCGCCTGAAGAAGTATTTGGAGTGGATGACCGTTTGTATTCGCTGTTTAAAGCGGAATAGTTTTACATATGACTTATATCAACTCACCTTTCCGGGCTACAACATCAGCGTCAATAATGGGACTCCCAAGCTCCCGAAGCATTGAAGACACGGTGCTTTTCCCAGAGGAAATACCTCCCGTTAGTCCCACGAGGTACATCTGAAAACACACAGACACACATTCATTCCAGCCCAGTTGGTGTACTCATACAAATAGAAATGTAAGAACATGCAAGACACACTTAATTAACTAGGTAAAAATAGCATTACATAAGAAATATGAAATTCTACACTTTGCATGACTTCAAAAGATAAATCCATGTCTCTGAATTCACCGAGTCAGCTCTACAGTATTATATGTCAAGATGAAATGTCATGTGGGATCAAAACAAAAACAAAGAGAAAAAAATAGTTATCAAATTTATCCATTTCTTTGCATGCCTTGATTCTTATCTTCACAGAGTAAAATACATTCATACAAAAGACATGATAAATGTGATTTTCTGTTTGCTGATTAAGAATGATTTAATCTATTAAAGATATCTTATTTTTCCGAATGCATAGGTCATTAAAATTTTTCTCCTTGGTCTAAAAAACACAAACAAAGACATCTGCAAATGAAATCCCAAAAGGGAAATGATGTTTTTAGCCCTGACGTCTCACTACGCCCCCTGCTGTGGAAGTGGTGAGCTACACTTTCAGTTACATATCAGCTGTCAGAAGTGGGTGAAAAACTGGTTTGGTTGGTTGGAATTTCAGATTTAAAGTTATTCTGTATTATAAGGGAAAATGAAGCTTTGAACAAACCGCTGAGTGATTCGTTACTAAACTCGACTTAATTTCTTACAAAAAAAAACAACACACAGATACTGAGGGTTTTTAAAAAACATTTATTTTACCTTGTAGACGAGATAAGAGTCCTTCTGTTGATTGAAGTACAGTGGAAATCAGCGCAGGCACACAGTGCAGTTTTCTGGGGCAGTAAACAGCCAGGACTGCTAACAAGCTAACGTCAGAACAAGTGTTGATCAGGTCGAAACGACCATAAACAACCAGTCCAACGACACCATCATCATTTTCATTAAATGCAGAAAAGATTCCAGGAAAATAAGTTTAAGATATCGTTACGGCTAAACACAGCCGTGTCTAAGTCTTGCTTGCACTATATTGGCTGCTAACAACCTAGCTTCTTAGCTTGACAAGGGCCACTTTGAAATTATACCGACATCTCTTCCTGTATTAATAATAGTTCCGCCTCACTCGTTCTGTGTTCCCAGCCTCTCAGCTGCGGAGTCCATTTAAATTCAAAGACAATTTCCTAAGCAACGTGTTTATTTTGAAGCAAAACAAATATTTGCAAATATCAAAATATACAATAAAAAAAACACAGTACTTCCATTAATTTGTCCATTATATATCCAAGACAATTCTTAAAGAAAAGTCCCTCCACAAAATGAAAAAAAATTTGGTATGTCCATTCTCCGAAAAAATACTTTTTTAAAAACAAAAAAACAACTAATCTTCTGCTTCCTCATCAATATTTTGTTTTGGTATCTCCAAGGAACCAGGCTCACTAGATGAATTGTGAGAATGTCTGGATCTTTTTCCTCTGTGGACCGTTTCACCTCCATTCTCCCCTTCCTCACGCTCCAGTCTGCCTCTTTTCACAAAATGGTTAATCCTTGACTCCAAACTTTCACAGCATGGACGATCGAGCAGTGGTCGGTAGTTTCTCTGCCTGCTGCCTTCTACCAGCAAACAATGGTTGGAGAGCACAGCCCCTATGGATGGAGAGATGCCATTTTTACATAACACCAGACACATAAACCGTAGACACTTTGATATATTCAGGTAATGTTCAGGTTTTTTTATTAAAATGTGTCTAAGGAGGAAATATCAAGTAAACTTGAAATGTATAATTTGCTGGGACACTTTTAAGACTGACCATCTCATTTTTCTATTATTTTACTGTCATGCTTAAATAGTAATATCTTTATGTATTATGAACAACATACATATATATCAAAATCATACAAATAGTATCAACTCACAAGTCTAACATCACAAAATTACTTTTTTTAACAAAGTAGTGTTTGTGCTGCTGTTGCTTTCCCTCTTTCAGTGCATCAAATTCCCATCAGTGAGAAGGCCCACGCAGAGTAAAATGTTTTCAAAAGATCAATTTAATCAGAATGAGATCCCAGTTGTGGAGGATATTCGTGAGTCTAAAAAAATGAGCGAGCGATCTCACTTGTGAACGCGTTTTGCTGTACAGCCAGCTTTGCGCTCGACATTTAAAGTCATCCGTCTTGCACAGAGAAGACACACGCGGCTACAGTGGCTGTTGGTCATGAGCTGAGTGGTTCCAGTGAGGAGGGAAACGGCTCACCTCTTCCCTCCAGAGCCTGGATCATGGCGTGCAGGATGTGGGCTTTGACCGTGCTCTGGGTCCAGTGCTGCTGCAGTGATGACAGCGCGTGGTTCAGCTCCTCTGCCTCCCGCTGCCAGCTCACACCCTCAAAGTGGCAATCGTACAGCACCAGCGGGTAATCCACAGCCATGCTGCGAAGGCCACACGGGCAGACTCAAACAGATGTTGGCAGCTGTTCGTGACTGGTGTACTTTGGTACTGCCCAACAGTGGAACTGGAGGCTATTTAAACGTTTCTGATTTTTGTGAATAAAGAAAACAAAGGTCAACATGGCAATAGTGGCCTCACCTGTACTGGGGCTTCCTGGGGTTCTTTTCAACATCTAGGAGTTGATCGATTATATCGGGCGCTTCCAGCTTTTGTCCAATCAATAGAAGAACTGCCATCATACAGCGAACCTGCAGCAGAACACAGCAGATTCATCACGTTGCACAATCCACCATTTTAAGTTGTGTTAATGTAAAAATGTCTTCTTGCTAAATTTCTCACATTAGAAGCATTCTGACAGATTCGACTCAAGAGGAGAAAGTTTTCTCCATAAAAACACAAAGTTGGCCACAGTGCTTTACAGTGAAAAAAGTAAAAACTGAAATCATTACTAATAGATTCAGTCTTTAATCTGCAAGGCCTCGATTCAAAGACTTACCCATTTAGTCTAATTAATTATCAAATCCAATAAAACAAAAGCTTCATCTGTGAAATTAAATGAATCAGATATTAAAATAAATGTACAGGTGTTTGGTACCTGGTGGTACAGGAAGGCTAAGCCTTTGATCTCAAACATGAAGAGGTCGTAGTGGTGCGTGCCGGAGACCTGCTGCGGCTGCACAGGCTGCACCTCTGCCGACAGGATGGTCCTCTCAAACTGCAGGACTCCGTTTCCAACATCCATTTTACAGAGGTTGCGGAAGTCGTGATGCCCCTCGTATCTGTTGGGGTGCGAGAGGTCCTAAACTCAGAATTGTGGAGGGGAGACTCTGGCCTTTCTGCCCGCGTGTCTTCTTCACCCACCTTTTTGCAGCGTCTGCCATCAGCTCCACATCCAAGTGCCCCCGGGGGAAGTAGTAACGGTACGTGCGCGACTGGCAGTCGAAGCGGGCGCTGAACCCCTCCGCCACCGGAGCCCAGTCCAGGACGCGGATGTCCTGAGGCAGCACTCGGTTCAGTATCTTCACATATGGAAGCTCGGGCACCGAAGCGCCGGACTTGGAGCTAGAGTCCGCCTTCTCAGGGAGGGTCACACCGAGCCCCCCGCCAAACTGTGTGGATCGCAGGTCTATGCTTATAACCTGCAGGATGGAAACCAACACATTTGCCATGAGAGAAAACTATTCATTTGTAACACTTTTGACGTGTGTTTAGCGTTGCTTCACCTCTTTGAAATGCCTTTTATCACTTCAATATCCAAAGTAATAAACATGACATTTCCCTTTACGGGCTGCAAAATCTTAATCGTTATCTGCTCACTTGGGAGAAGGCACTGACTCCTTTATCAGTGCGGCCACAGCGATGGTAGTTGGAGAGCTGCCGGTCCTGAATGAGCCGGGTCTTCAGCAGCGCCTCAAAGAGTCTGGCCTCCACGGTGTTGTCTGTGTTTTCCTGAACTGCAAAGCCCTGGTAGGCCCACCCGAGGTAAGCCAGCCGCACAGCCACATGGCGCCGGGGATGCGCAGCGAAGTCAAACGGACGCTGTTTGCCTGATTTTCTTCTCTCCTTTTTGCTGCCGGTGTTCCCTTGGGGAGATGAACTGGACTTTTCCTCCAGGTCATCTCCGGCCTGACAGCTCTCCTTAAGCTGGGACCTTAGCTTTTCCAGCTCAGTCTCCAGCTCTTTTATTCTCTGGGTTACAGCATCTGACATCCTTCTGGACATAACAAACAAACAAACAAAATAACAACAAAAGGCCACCGTGGGTTGAGAAGCACACGGGTTTAACATGTTTACAAATGTTTAGTGAGAGTTGGCTTTCTTAATATATTCAGTCCCTCCGTGTTCGCTAAAGCAAGTTATACAGCATCATTTTAACATTTACTGTACTCACAGTTTATCACATTACACAGATAAGTTTGCCACCGGTGAGTTTACACGGTGAATTAATGCACCGCTACATGCAGGCTGTTAGCTAGACTGGAAACTCCAACACGAATTCTTAATAACACCCAAAGTTAGTCGTAAGTGGTAAAACAATAAATGGCAGCTTTTTACCTACATTTTAAAACTCAGAGTGGTAGCGGAAACTTCATTTAGCAGTCATGCGAACGCTTTGCACACATGCTTTCGGAGTCTGTTAGTCAAGCGTCAAAGTCGGACCAATTTGAGGAGCGGACACATTTCCTTCGAAGGGTTTTTGGGAAATGTGGTTCGGTTAGAATTTTTTTACGGCATTAATTCATAGCTTATTATGAAAACAGGGCATAGATAAATAATGTACTTAATAATATATAGAGAGATTCAGCCTGTTTGGATCATTTGTACCAGAATAGATATGCAATATCTAAATAAAATTCCACTCAGATTTCAGTTCAGCCAGTGAGATAGGAAGAATTTTTCAAAAACTTCTTGCGAAGTCAACTACTATGTATAAGTAAACATCATCACAACACATAACCCAATTACATCACGTATTTATTGTATATCCACAAAAAGTATACATGAGATGTGAAATTACAACATGTTTCTTCTGTCATATATCATAACTGATCAAATAGCTCTTCTTTGGATATGCCAATCATAAAATTTGTAATAAGGCTTTTAGGCATATAAGTAATAACATTGATACTTAATGTAATAATCTGGTGTTCTAGGACCAATGAATCACTGTCTGCCAAATCCATATGAAATTCTTTATATTCATTGTTAATTGTTTATATATTGAATATTGTACTGTTTTAGTGTATGAAGACTGACATGATGAATCAACTGATGTCCTCATAATTCTTTCGTTTTATGTCCAGACACAGGCAAAAACCCAATATTGCCCCAAAGACCTGTAACAGGCCAGAAATAGAGAAAGTAGTGGTTAGTAGTGCTATTTTCACCCACTGAATAAAAGAGACAGTCAAGGCAAAAGGCCACATGACCATTTCACACGTAAAAACGTTAAAATGCTTCATACCTCTCCAATTCCGAGAGCAATGCAGACAGCACCAACCCAAACCAAATTCTTCAGCAGAAACAGCTTGATAGCTATGGTGCATCCCTACAGAGTAAGACAGAGTCCTGAAATGTTTGGTCATTTGAAATGGGAAGAAATTGTTCAGCTGAAATTTCACAGCAGACCTTTTTGTACACCTTATCCTTGTCCTTTCCACAGCCTTCAGTCTTCTCTACGCAACAGGAGTCTGGAACAGCATCATACTTTCCCCAGCCTTCACTTTGGGACCAGTCGGCATAACTGCTTGCACCACAGCATTTGAACTGTAAAAAACAGCTTAGTTTAGACTTTCTGTACTGACAATGTGACACGATAAGCTTATAAGAAGATAGATAGATGAGGATGCCCTTTATTAGTCCAACATCAGGGACTTTCTAATTACAGCATTCTTGAATCAGATACATGATTGATGTGTAGCTTGTGTTCACCACCTGCTTTGTATACAGAACAACTATGTTCCTTCCTTTTATCACAACTCATTTTACTTTATAATCGCATTCAAATTACAGGTATAGTGAATTTTTTTTGCAGCCAGGTTGTCAGAGGGTTTGAGTTGATCAGTTCCTCCATCCATTGTCTTCCACCTCCCCGAAATAGCTGGGTCCTTGTGGAAATGGCTTAGTATTCCTTCTCTCGGTTGAGTCCATCCAAGCCTCAGGAGTCAAGGCCTGGCCAGCGGATGCTGACCAGCAAGTCCTTTCTCACTGCGTCTGGCTCAAGGAGTGTGCCCCTGTTTTTTATTCTGGGTGTGGTAGCTTTATTCCACCATCCCAGGGCCTTCATGGCATCATCAGCAAGTATAGTTTCAGGGTTTTTCCCATGGGATACTTTTACAAGGGTAGGCTGAGAACACTTGTGTTATCATCAGACCTTCAGGCTTGTCTTGAAGAATGGTTTGATAAGCTAATTACAGCACACCCATTTTTCATTTCTGTTTTTACCCTTGATTTGGATTAAACTTCTCAGCAATTGTTACTAGCATTCACCTCACATTCTCCCCAGCCTCTCAAGCATCACTTATATCTACAAAACATTAAGCTCTGGGTGTGTCACCTTATCCTGAATCCCATCGATGGCCTGTCTCTTTTCCTGGCTGTATTCATTGATCGCCCGTTGTGCTTTGGTGTTCATAGCACTATTCATCTGATTCATCTGTATTAGGACAGTCTACAGAGAAAATAAGATCAGAATATTGTCCTGATGGCACCAGAGCTTTGTTTGTTCAAAGTAACATCACCTCTATTATCACATCAGAGATGGTATTATATTTTTGACTTTGATCTCAAGCAGTCCCCTTTGGGAAGGATTTGATTCTCACCCTGCTGCGAAGTATGTAAAAGGCTGCTCCTGTGAATATCTCCAAAACAATGATTACTATCAGAATGCCGATGAACTGGTGAATGGAGAAACAGAGTGAAAGAAATCCGTTTAATCTCTCGTCGCTGTTCTTATGTCATCTGGAGGACGTGATCTCAAACCTGATCAGGAGCAGATGATACTTACACAAGACACCATGGAGGAATGGCTGATGAACGCTCCGACATGGCCCAGGATGGATACAAGGACAATGGTGACACCCACCACAATGAGGACAATAGCAATTTTAGAAAAGCCATCTCCTGCAAATGTCCCTATCTGTGAATAAGTTGAGAATTGCAGCGCTCCAATTGTGAGGAGTGCAACCCCTGATGCCTGAAAAACAAGTTTAATATCTCAACATTAATGCAGTGCTGCACATAGCACCATTAAACCCCATGATCATAGCTCATCATGGCACTCTCCTGCTACCTTAAATCATCGAGAAGAAACCCTAACAGCATGGAGAGCAGAAGAATGATCATGCATCACTCAGAATTGATGACATTTGCATGTGAATTGTTTTCATAGTTATAGTATTCTTTATGTAGTTCTCCTGAGGAGCCAGACTTCCTTGAAATCTTTTAAGAGTTCAGTAAAAACCATATTCAAATGAATAGGACATTCTGCACCAACAGTGAAATGAAACACAAAATGCTGAAATGTGCCAAATGAAACAGGAGCTGAGCTATCCTATGGGGGGATGAACCCCAACATTATTTAAGCAGTGTGGGGTCAACTTGAGGGAACACCAAACGAAAAACAGCCTACATCAAAAGAAGAGACTTGAAGAAATGGAAGCCCTTGGGAACTATTCCTGAAATATCTAAATTCCTGTCCTACAACAAAAAATACCAAATCTCTATCTGTAATCCTGCCTTTTACTGCACACATTTACCACATCGTGGGCTGAATTCTCACAGAAATATCAAGCTAATTTAAAATCTTATGGTCTAACATTATCCTCCTTCCAACTTTACCTCCTCTAACTCTAAAAATACCCTAAACATCATAATATTCCAGCTCTCCTCTTCCAAGAACCCCAGCTATAAACTTAAAGTTCTCACTCTTGCTTAGACCACCATGACCACCGCTCCTCTCAGCCCTCCATTCAAAAATCAAATGATTTCCTTTACTTACCAAGAAGATTGTATTGAAGAAAACAAACACACATTTGATGCTGCAGCAACCACACATTGTGAGACAAGGACAAGTTACTGTGTTGTGAAAGTTAAAAACAGGAAATGTGTTAAAGTTGTCTCTCCTCGATTACAGCGTGAAAGGTAAGATGGAGTCTAAACTCTAACTGCAATTCAGGTGTGACTGTCTCTTAGATCCGTAGGAAAATGAAGCTGCAGCCTGATAACACATGTATCAGATGAAAACATAAAGTTCCTTTTACAATATTTGCATTGAAGCTTCACACACTGCTGAAAAGCTGAACAAACGGCTATCTAAAAAGTAGGGAGTCTCCTACAAATGGACAGGTAATGGTTACAGATAGCATACATCCCTCATCTTCCACTGTTTCACACAACAAAAGGAGGTACAAAAACATTCTCCTGCTCCAGCTTTATTCTCATTTTGACTCTTTATTTCTGACTGTAGTCTGATCAGCTCTCATTTTTTCAAAGTTTTGTACTTGACTATCATGGTTCAAAGGATTTTCACAGACCCCCTGTGGCCATGTTCCTCTAAATTCTGTGGGATTCTAACTTTGATACTGGCCAAGAAGAGCCCTTTTATTCACCAGAACCTGTCTGCATGATTCCTTCAGCTACTGGCATCTTGTCAACCACATGTTTTTGGACAAAATATAGATAACTCCGAATGCCTGAGCTCATTCTCAATTGTTTGGCTGCAGTTCTGCTGCAGTTTAACTCCACGTAATGGAAAAGGTTAGAGATCCCTGGTTGCAGTACACAACAACAGAGCCTAAAGGATGCCAGAATGTCTTCTGCCTCAATCTCCTCGGTGTTCTGGCTGTTAGGTAGTGCATTAGGCTGTGAGAGGGGGCAAGCTGCTCTGTAATTTCAGACATGGCATAAAGATTTCCGCCTGTTTTTCCTGAATCACAGCAGGATCTCTGAATGTATATTGAAGAAAAGGTGCTGATGAAACAGACTTGGTTGAGTCTAGAGTTTTTTGGGTTCCTTTTTTTTGGCAAAGCTGGCGTTACAGCAGACAAAGTGAGCTGCCTGTCTGTTTAGATACACATATGTCAGGCAAGGGAGAATTAATCTATGAGCAGCCATGTGTTAAGTTTGTCAACTTAACACGGATACTCTGTTCATGCCTCTTTCTTTCACTGTTCATTTCAGTATGCAAATAAATTCTGAGGGAACACTTGAGGAAGATTATGTCAGATTGCTGCAGTAAAGTCCTCCTCTGTTATCTCTCCAGAAGCAGCTGATCTGTTCTGCTGGGTGATGTCTGCACCACACGAGGGCGCACCCAACAATTTTGAACACCTTGAACCCATTAAGAACCAGACTCATGCTTTTCTTAACAGGAACAGACATGCCCTTTGTTCCAGTTTAGCCGAATGATGGACTAATAGAGTGTGCAAAAAAAAAAAAAAAAGTTTGTTTTTGAGGGAGTTTACTGGGAGGAGAATCACAATGATTTACATTACAGTGGGATTCCTTTGAAGAACTTCTTGAGAACAGGAAGGAGAATCATTACCATAGTTGGAAGTACTCGGTCTCAGAAAAATGACACTGGGCTTCCCATTCTCCTTTTCCTGTTTTGAATTCCACAGGCTTGGTCAAGGCTTTGAATGTTTCTGTCTGATAAGAATAATTATCCAGGCTAAATGAAGGCTCTGTGTTGTGTTGAATAATAATATGAGCGAAATATGTTCAATAACGCCATCGCCTTACGCTTGCAAATACTGAAAGCACTAATATATATATTTTTTCTCTTAGTTCTGTTTTTCCATCAATTTTGACCCTATATGGTTGGGTCCGTACCAGAGTTGGGGGGACTTGTACTCTAGATGGCATGTTTGACATCAGCTCATATTCAGACACAGAGAAATGTCTAAATAAGAATGTCTGTGCTTGATAACTTATTGCATTTTTATGATGTTTTTTCAGCCTCATTCACTACCAGCCACGTTATACTGTACTTCCAGCCACATTCAAACATTTCCATAAACATTTTATTCAATACAAAAGGAATACTGACTGACCTGATGATCCAACTATTAACTCTCCGACAGGATTTCCAGGTCTTCTGAAATATAAATATTTAACGTGAGACATGAAATACAAGTTTATCGTAAATTTGAAGGCAGCTGTATGGCTTTGTGAATCATTGCATACTGTTTTTTGGATAATGTCCTGTAGTGTTTCCAGCACTGCTTTCCACAAGTGATACCAAAACCCTTAAAGTAATACTCATACGCAATAGAAAAAAAAAAACAATCTGCAGGAAACAATCTGCAGCTACTTTCTTATCAACCAGAACTAGCTGAAAATATTGTGCTCTGCAGCGAGCACAAGGATTGTGTACGGAACGTTCCATTCTGGCTTTTGCACCAAACACTTCACATCTGTCAACCCCTGCATCATTTCATTTTCCACTAACAATGTGTAACAAAATATTTAGTACCTTGTATGTAGAAAACATGTCAAAAATAAACTTCATTGATAAACCTTTCCTAAGTTCAGTACCACTCTACACTGATCTGAAGAGGAAAGAAAAATTCAATCCTGAAAGATTGTTTTTTGTTTCTATGTTATAAACTGTGGCCCAAGCAGATTTTCTGCAGGTGATCAGAATCTGGTCTATTTTTGGATGTGTGACTCTGTTTTGTGACCCACTGCACAGTTTGTAAAAATTAGGTTTACAGTATTGCACAGAGTGGTTTTCTTTGTACTTCAGTAAACAGTTCAGCTTGTGCTGGTTGTACTCCATCACTCAGCAGGCTTTTAGTACAGGGATATGTTGTGGTCTAAAGTAAATTATGCGCCTCCCCACCTGGTACCACTTACATACCAGGCTATATAGCTGTTTCCTTACATTCTTGCTGTGACCGCCGCTAAGTGAAATGCAGTTGTTTAAAACCTCAGCTCTGTGATTTGAGCTAGCTTTACAAAAGTCGTTAAAAAATCTCTGTTGCACGATCATTTGTATTACATCTGCTTAAAGAGAAGAGTTTAGTCTGTATCTGTTATCACCAGGCAGGAAATATACCTGTAAACAAAAACATGTACCCAAAAATATTAATTGACTTGTTTTTACTGAATTGAAACTACAAGTCTGAATCAATAATAGATGAGACCACCACTTGCTCTTCAATCAGCATCAGTTCTTTGGTTGGTCAGGTCATTTGTTAGAGACATTTTAGGGAAAGCTGTTTCTGTGGGTTTGCCTGACAAAGTCCCTTAAGAGTTTGTACGATGTAAACCAACTTTCGGAACGAATGTTTGAATATTAGAATAAATAAATCTAAAACAAAATATTCAAACCTTTAGCGTTTGAAAGAGAAATTAAGCCTGATGAAAAAAACTCAGAGAGGCCGGATTTCAATAGACTGGATAAAACTAGCCTGTGGCTAACAATTGTTCAAAACAAAAGGTACAAGCCTTGGACACACCCAACATGTAGCTGCCACAATATCAGCTGCCATGAAAGCGTCTCACTCAGTAGTGAATGTTGTGGTCACATGATTCAAATGATCCTCTTTCATGCAAGCATTCTGAAATAGTTTTAAACAGCCACCTCAGTTTTCCTGCTTTTCGTCAGCAGCCACATCGAAAGCACATAGAAAGCTGCAATACTGGCTCTTCTAGTTCCTGTGGTGACATTGCCAAAGTGGTTCACACAGTACTTAGCCGAGTGCTTACAGGGAAAAGGTGTTTACGGGGGATGAAATGGCAAAAAGCAGCTGACAGTGGAATTGCGTGATTCTGGTCTGAAAAAAAGGTTTCACAAAGGTAAATATGCTTCTATCTTAGTGTCTTTTATTTTATTTTAATTCTTTGCCCAACTTGTTGCTTTCCTTTTTAACACAGCTTCTGTTTCTCACTCGCACGTTTCCTATTCTCTCTTCCTTCCACCCTTGCTCTCAGTATTGAGGGGCTGAGGGGGCTGAACATGTGTGCCTTTGATTGGTCTTCTGATAAACTGTTTGCTGTGTACTGTGGGGCAGAGAGAGGTTAGTGATTTCACAGGCAGTCAGAAAGCAGAAGCTCCTCCTTTTGGCATCTCAGAAAACGTGTGGATATAGACAGGACAACATGCGCACCATGCTTATAAACTGAGAAAAACATTACCCAAGCAATAGGGAAAGACCAGGCCTTCCCATGAGGGACTGAACTCAATTGATAACTTTTCATTTTAAATCCAGGATGGACAAGGATGGCCAAAAGCCGAAGACCTATGTATCCACCTTCAGTTTTGCCCTCAACTCTCAGAGCCGACCGGGCAGTGTGGGGAAGCAGGGCCAGAATGGACTGGAAACCACTAACAGGATGTTATCTGAAAACAAGAAACCAGGAGTCTCCTCTGCAACAGGTAAAGAAAAAAAAGCCACTTTTTAGTTTTAGGTTGAGTTTTACAACTACATGAAAGCTGTCATAATTAGCTCCTGATGGTAAAGATTCAAATGCAAAATCAGAACGAGAGACAGCAGGATGTGGGGTTTTTGTGAGGCTCAAAAGAGCAAAAGAAGAAAAGAGCCTGCTCTCTAAGCACAGAACAAATGAGATAAGTCATGATTTGTACAGTGACCATGTCCTGCTGCACTCTCGATCTTCACATTAGGACAAAACCTTAAAAGGCAAAACGGGGAGAAAAGGACATTAAGCTACATTGAAATAGTACATTTGTGAATTGATGTAAAAAAAAACATTGATAAAGGAACAACCAAGATCATGTTGATTTGGTAGTTTAGTAAACTTGAACTGGAATAGTCTGTGTTCTCCTTAGAGAGCTGCAATGTGGGTGCAGTCACATTAAAGACAACTTGCTTGCTTCCTTTGTTCCCCAAATTGCACTTATTCAGACAGACTGACTGGAGGCATTCCAACATCCTACTGCTAGACATTCCAACACCAAGATACACATGTGCAAGCAGCATGTGGTTAAAAAATCTTGTAAACATCATGCCAAATCCCACTTTCACATCTAATCCATCTGCAGTAGTTTCAGTGTCCTTATTATTGCTATTTTACTCTACATTTGTTCATCCAAACATAGACACTTGAAACTAATGATTAAGATTCTTTTAGGCAGTGAAATAACATTTGTACATTTAACCTCTCATTTCTGTTAGATGTCAAACAGGTAAAAGTTGAGAGTTCGGAAAGGCCCCGCTTCAGAGAACCACTCAGAGACTGTACAGTCTGTGATGGTGGTGAAGCTACATTAGAAGGAGTTATCACAGGAAGTCAACCTCTCAGTGTTTCCTGGAAACATAATGGTAACTCATTACTATTGCTTTTGAAATACCATAAGGAGAAAACAAAAGAAAAATACCAGCCAAGGGTCTCATGTATGATTCTTTTAGAAATCTGAATATTTATCAGTTGAATTTACCCTCGGTTTCTTTGGTATGCAGGAAAAATTGTGAATTCCAGTAATACTTCCATGAAAAATGGTGTCGCCTGTCTGACACTGACTCAGTGTTCAGCTGGAGACACTGGGGTTTACACCTGCACTGCCCAGAATTCCGCAGGAAAGAGGTCCAGCAGTGCCACCTTACAAGTACTAGGTAAAGTTAGACAATTACTGCAAATGTCATATGCAGCATAAGCAGGAATAATCAGTAGATAATGTACATTAAACCCTGTGGACCTCTGTTTACAATGTACCAGCAAAAAAGGAAATTTCCAGAACAAACAACCATGAGAGGCACAGTGAGGTCTCATTCAAGGCTCAAAACTCTGAACCGTCCCCACGCTTTGAAGGAGAAAGTCAACACAGATACGAAAAGGATAAAGGTAGATTATTAACTTTTGTTCATTCTCCTAAAAACCTATATATTGTTATCCACTTATAAGATTACATCTTTCCTCTGATTTTTCCCCCTTCATTTTACAAAATTACTTTCAAATTATTATTATTATGTGATGATCAAAAAGAGCTTTGAACATCACAGAAGCAGGAAAGTTCCTTCCAGATACTTTTAAGGTACAATTAAATGGCCCTCAGTTGACTGCCCTGCTTGCACCTGCAACCAAACCTGACTGCTCTCATGTGATTGGTTGGCAACTGTTTAAATAACCCTATTGTGTAAGTCCACCTACTTCTTCATTGTCTGCAGTTATCAGAAAGCACAGCGTTCAAACAAAAGCCTTCTCTAGCCAAGGTAAGGGGCCAATACACAGGGAATTGGTCAGAGTCTGTTGATTTTCTACTACAAAATTCTTTAAAACATCATTGTTTCTTCAGATAACAAACAAATTGCACTTTTGTTCAGGGCCTCCAGTGGAGTTTCTGGACCCACCGGACACAGTGGAGGTTCGGGTGGGCGAGCAGGCACAGATTCAGTGTGACTTCAGAAGCAGCTCTGTCCCTGTGGCCTGCTGCTGGATTTACAATAAAGTCAAGGTAAAAGTGGGAGTCTCTACCCACTCATGTCTGTGTGCCCAGCCTTTGGATTTAGTTTCTACTTTGTGGACACTCGGGCCTTTCCTCCTCTCCAGGTGGTGACGGGGTGCCCTCGGACGTCTGTCAGGAGCACGAGGACACAAAGCTGCGTGGTCATCTCTCAGGCTGTCCCAGATGACACGGGGCTGTATACGGTCATTGTACGAAACAGAGCCGGCTCTGCTCAGCACACAGTTTCCCTCAGTGTCATAGGTGAGGCTCCTTCTTCTCATTATTCAGAAAAAGGAAGTTTAGGACTCTTGGCCATTGTTGACCAAATACAAAAAGGTAGTAGATACATGTGCAAATCAATCTTCTAATAACCCACTGAAGTGGGGAAATGGATTTAATTAAATCCAGGGAAATGATCCATTTGTCAGAGTCTCCAGGAATGAGGATAAAAGCACCTTTTGTTTCTCCTCAGACCGGCCATCTCCGCCAGCATCCCAGCCTGTTTTTTCCCGGCTCTCCACTCAGTCCCTGGTCCTGTCCTGGACTGGTCCCAGCTACGACGGAGGCACAGCCGTGCTGGGCTACATCGTGGAGGTCTGCGAAGAAGGTCCGGACACCCCTGGGAGCTGGACTGAAATAAGCCGGAGTAAGAACACATCGTACCACATCCGCTCCGGCTTGGAGCCACTGGGACAGTACTGCTTCCGTGTCAGAGCCTATAACTCAGCAGGAATCAGTGAACCGAGCCAAGAATCTGAGAGGGTCAAGATGGCAACTGAAAGTGAGTGATCTGTTGTCAGAGTTTATGGCAGAGTTTAGATATTCCGATAAAAATAATCTAATGCCATGTGTTTGTCTGATTTTTAAGTGGGAAAGAAAGAAGAGCCAGAGTCCTTTGTCACAGTGACAATTGACACCAAACATAAGGTCAAGGACCATTATGATGTGAAGGAGAAGCTGGGATAGTAAGCATATACATCTAAATGTATCCAACTTAAACTGAAAATGAAAACTAACAAAGAGAAACTCTGATCCATCAAACTGTTCTGTCTGAATAATTCCAGTGGAAAGTATGGAGAAGTCTTCCGGTTAACCCACAGAGAGACGGGCCGGGTATGTGCAGGAAAGTTCTACCGGGCTCGTTCCTCAAAGGAGAAATCGGAAGCTCGCAAAGAGATTCAACTCATGAACAAACTTCACCACTCAAAACTTGTCCAGTGTCTGGCTGCCTATGATACTCGCTCAGAGATCGTCATGGTCATGGAATAGTGAGTAATATTATTTGGTCAAATAAAAAACGGCACAGTATTTGAATTGGCAGACAGTGTCTGCAGATCTCTCATCACTATTATACCACCATGTGCAGTCGTGCTTCTGTGGCAATGTTGTTGGTTAAATGACACTCTACCTTTAACGGCCTTTCTTGTGGATTGGTACCTGGTTACCAAATAACACCACAGTTGCACAAGATGACAACATTTGGGTCTAATATGGTGAAACAATCTGCATAAAATAAAGAAATAAAACTGTCATTAGTATCAAAGACTTAAAACCAATCGAACATTTTTATTAAAAGCCACTTAAAAGGGAGAGAAACAAGATGCCTGACCCTGAATGGTGGTCCATCTATCCAGTATTGCAGGTGGGGAACTCTTTGAACGCATCGTGGACGACAACTTTGAGCACACAGAGACCAACAGTGCCCGCTACGTGCAGCAGATCCTGGAGGGCATTCAGTACGTTCACAAGCAGAATATCGTGCACCTGGATCTTAAACCGGAGAACATTGTGTGCGTGGATACGACGGGGACGCGGATCAAGATCATTGACTTTGGCCTGGCCAGCGAGCTGGGTGAGTGTGTGTGGGGTGAGGGGTCTGGCTTTGCAGGATGCTCCGACTGTAGAGGAGGAAATGTGACATCAGCCATGCCTAACATTTGTGATGTGGTTTAAGAGTTCATGCAAATGAGATCTGGGAAACGGCTTTGCTTTTTCCTTGTTCAAAACTTTTACCACGACTTTGAATGCATGTTGAAAATGAGAACAATGTGCTTCACAATGCTAATTGCATCATGTCAAGACTTTAAGTAGATGACTTACTGCCATTTGTGTTATTTGTCTAAAAATCTGTAAGACAATTGGATTTTGCTTTTTTGTATTCTAATTTAGACTAAACTATTGCTTAAAAAAACATGTGTAAACCATTATTCAAATATTTTGTATTGCACAAAATTTGTAGGGTGATGTTTAAAGAATGTGTTTGTTTCCCCCCCCACCCAACACTATTCAGAGGAGGGCAAACCTCTAATGGTGATGCATGGAACGCCAGAGTTTGTTGCCCCTGAGGTCATAAACTATGAACCTGTCAGCCTGGAAACTGACATGTGGAGCATTGGAGTCATCTGCTTCATCTTGTGAGTTTAACTGTGCAATCGTAAAAGAACAAAAGGTTTTTCACATGTGAGCTCCTCATAAAATATGACTGAAACCCTCAAAGGTTTTTATCTTTTTTTAAATCAAATGGAAATTGTGATAACTGGAAAACCTAAGATTTACAAAGGGGAAAACGGAGACACACCAATTCTGGATGCACGTAGTTCTACAAATGCAGACTTGTTGCCATCTGCTGGTGCTGATTTGGTACCGCATCATATCCCTCTAACAATACCAGCAGGACATCAACAGGAATAATTAGGATCAACTTACCCCTTGGCTCTTTTAACAAAAAAACAAACTGTTTTGTTTTTTTTGTTATCCGGTAGAGACTAAATGAAGAGGGACATGCTGCTTGTGCAAAACATTTCACTTCCAGACAAACGTGTTCTGGCTTGTGTTCATTCTGTTTTGCGTTGTAGGCTGAGTGGAGAGTCCCCCTTCCAGGGAAACAATGATGCGGAGACTTTTGCGCTTGTGACAGCTGCCCGCTACGAGTTTGACCCGGAGACTTTTGAAGACATCTCTGATGAAGCTAAGGACTTCATCAGCTCTCTGCTGAGGAAAGACCAGAGGTGGGCCGGCTTTTGTTTGCACAGAAGTTTCTCTTCCTGCCATTTGTTGAAAAATGAATACAGCCAATCTTTTTTTTTTTATTCATCTCTCCATCTGTCTCTCCTTCCCTGCAGAGGTAGGCTGTCATGTACTGAAGCCCTGGCCCACTCCTGGATGGCCTCTTTTACCCCTCTGAACCGCAGACCCACAAAGTGCCTCAACAAAGACAGGATGAAGCGCTTTCTGGCTAGGCGCAAATGGAAGGTAGTTCTCAGCATATCGTGTTCTCGCAGCTTTGAACAGATGACTCATTTTCTGAATGAGTGATTCCCTTCAATTCTGGATGCAAAGCTTGGTCACGAATAGTTGGTCATCCGGTGAAATTTTTTTTTTTCTCCCCTCAATCCCCAGAAAACTGGCCAGGCTGTTTTGGCCCTAAAGCGAATGGCTAACCTCTCCAACAAGCCAGACTCTCCTGGCAGCTCCTCAGAGGGTAACGGACATGATGGCCCTTCGGCCCTCTATACGCATACATGTGGAAAATTACTCAGTCTGAGCTTGTCACTTCAAGTTTACTCCTTTTTGTTTTTTTGTTTTTTTTCTTCATCATTCCTACTCTCATCTAGAGCCAGGCTGGAGCCAAGAGGCAGAGGCGGCCATCCAGTCGCTTGACAAGCAGCTGCAGATTGAGCCCCGCTTCCAGCAGCCCCTGAAGGACGCCACCCTTCCAGAGGGAGCCACTGCTCAGCTCGTGTGCCTTGTTGATGGTACTGACTGACTTTTCAGGCACTTTCGTTCAATACACATTTGCAGTGACTGAAATACTTCTGCCTTCAGGTCATGTTGTTTTTCTTTTTTTGCTTGAAACCATATAAAAAAGAATCAAATGGCCATGTGTGCACTTTAAGCATCTCTTCTGGCTCTTTTACTTGATTACTAAAACTAGCTTCCAGTATTCTCTTGAAGCTTAGTATTTAACACACTTATGAAAATGTTTCTTTTCCTTTTCACATTTGTGTTGATGCCAGGCTATCCCCAACCGGAGGTGAGCTGGCTACAGAATGAAGAGCCGGTGGCTGCATCGTGCAGAGTGACCATTGAGTGTGATGAAGATGGGCTCTGCTCTCTGGTTCTGGCTGACTTGAAGCCTTCTGACTCTGGGGTTTATGTGTGCAGAGCCAAGAACAAGCTGGGGGAAGCATTGTGCTCTGCAAAGCTGAAAGTGGAGCTGTAAGGCAATGTATTATGTCTGCACTTTTTTTCCCCGCCATTAGCCTGCATAAGAATGCGTGCACTTAGCAGGGAGGCGAAAACATGTTGTCCAAGTTAAAATTTTTAGAAAAACCCTCTTTCACAAATCAGTAGTTACTGACGCATTCTGTATCCTTAACATGTGGCTGGGCTGTAAATATTCTCACACACAAGGTTTTGTATTAACACGAGTTGGAGTATAACTAGGACGGTGCTCCTCACAACTTGCATGAAAACCAAACATTTTGTTTGCACATTAAGACAACACTCACGTTTTAAAGGCTGAATATTTAAGAGAGCACTTTGTTTCAGGGATAAATGTTTCAAACGAAGACACGTGCTTCATGATCAAGGTTTAGAATACTGATGTAGGTGTAACAGTATTTTTGTAATTCAAACTTTTTTGTGGATTGACATGATTTTGGTGGGAGTGTGAGAATAATTCAGGTAATTTTTTTTTTATTTCCCCTCTGGTCTTGTAGTGTTGTATCAACTGGTTCAAGGAACAAAAAATCTGTAGAGCAGTTTTCTTTTGTTTTGTATTTTTAAAAATATCTAAGATTTTTTTTTTCATACAGATAGTTTCAGGAGTATTTACTGAGAAATCATTACTGAACAGGACACATTCACCAGCTTACAAGTCTTTCTATAATGCATCCATCTCATGTATTAATGTTCCATCGGTTTTTAATTGCTATGTATTAAATTGTATTAATGCCCATAATCGACTTTCTTACAGTGCCTATTTCTTTTCTCACAGATTAGTTCTTACTGGACATTTCTATGATGGAATACTTTTATAATTAACAGTATTTAACATTTAAATCTAAGACGGCATGACTTCATTGTTTTCTGGGAAATTTTCACAACCATAACTCTCTTTCCTCGATGTCCTTTTTCCCAGCAAACCGTCTTAATCGGAAGTCATTACAAGATATTGTAACTTCAAATCAAACACATCTGACCAAAATTCTGCAGCTCACTGAACCTAGTGACTCTTGAACAGAACTTGATCTTTCATTTGAAGGCATTCAAATCTTCGGATGAAAATGGATCTAAAGTTCTTCAGTTAAAACAACAATTCAATCCTAAAAAAATACCCAACTGAAATATTTCATGTTTGTTTGGAAGGGATTATTTAACCTTTTAACATGAAAAGAGACCTCTTGAAATAAAACAGTGTAAAAGCTATCAGGCACTGAGTTGTCAAAGGGCTGTGGAGGCCTGCTGGGTTTGCTGCACTGGTATGTAGCCACCCTCCCTTTTTATTTTTTTGTAAGGCAGCCTGTCCTCAGGTGGATCAGTCATTTGTGCAAACACGTCCCCGACTTGGACACACGTTTATTCCATTTGCAGAAATCACGAAGCAGAGACGTCCTTCTACTGTCCGTCTGTTGTCTGCTGGATCCTCTTCTGAAGAAGATTCCAAGCTTTCAGTACCTTTTTATGATATAATAAAAAAAAAGTGAATATACAGAAAAACCTAAATCTTTTCTTTTAACATTAAAGCAATGCAAATATGTGAACTGACGCTGAGGGTCCGACCTGTTTCCGGGTGACCTCTGGCTCCCATAGCGTGCTGAGGACAACGTTGGCATGCTCGACTTGCCGGCTGTTTGACCACTGACTCTGCAGCCTGCGCAGGGCGTCTTCTGTGGTCAGGCCATCCCGCTCCGTTATCCGTAACACCGCCTGAGTGGGGAAAACCAACAAAAGTGGCAATACTGATAAAATGCAAGTACTGTAACACAGACAGAAGTACAAAATCTACTTTATCTCTCAAAGCAGTCCCACAGAATCATTCAGGTTTAGAAACTGGTCTCAGTTCCCTGTTAATGGAATGTTGCCAAAAGAAGGGATGCTGAAAAGGGGTAGCCATGGACCTTTATCATGTTGAGATATTTTTCTGTGCTCATCAATTATGTCTCATTGATGAGCAGAAGTGGAAACCATATTACCTCCTCTTCAGGTATGATGGTGACCCAGACCTCATGCACCAGGTCTTTCCAGCCAGCCTCCAGGAGAACAGCTGCATCCACAACACAAACTTGTTTGCCTGCAACCAATCATATGACCAATAAGCACAAAAAGAACAGAGAAAAAAAGGCAGAACACAACAAGCGAAATAGGACCCGCTAAAGTAAATCTTCATCAAGTGTTCATCCATTAATGCTGGCTATTTCAATCATTTATCTGTAACTGTTTGGTTCTCTGCTCATTTCCAGCCTTAATTCGTTCTACTGGAACATCCACAGTCTGTCATTGTTCATCAGTCATGAGTCAGATGGATGTTTCAGATTGGCTGAATGAGACCACGGCTGACGCAGAACAGCTCGGACAGAAGAGGACGAGATGACGGGGGTTATTTTCAAAGCCTGTGAAACTATTCTGGATTCCAGGCAATTATAGCAAAACTCTGAAGCTATCAACGACAAGTTTTTACCCTGATAAAAGTAGTGAAATAAAAAGCTAAAAGTGGATTAGAAAACTGATTATTTAAAAAGCCAGACAATTATGAGCATCATTACATTTTCAATGCCGCGAGATATACAGAGGAGAGTACTGAGGACCAAATCTTAATCCTTAAAATACCTTCATCTTTGGCTCGGCTGATCCTGTCTTTCACTAGAAGTGCAATTTCAGGCCATACAATGTCTGTTAGGGCTTTCAATCGCTCCTGCAAGGAAAAAACATCATCCATGCTCAGCTGAAAACACAAAATCTAAAAAATGTAATTCATGTACATTAAGTTTGCCAGCTACATTACCTTGTTTCCAAAAACCTTCCTGCCTAAAGCGCGTCTGTCAATGCTTTTGTCCTCATTTAGGATATCTAAAGCATATGGAAAAAGCACAGTGCTGTTAAGTAAGATTCCATAAGTATGAGATTTAACGAACTATGACATTTAACAAACCATGACAAGTGATATCTATTTGGTTGCAAATGATTATCCTGATGCTTGTCTGGTTTAGAATAATTCCCTTCACTGTGCATTGATTTCAGCCCTCTCAGCTCGACATTTCAGATGATAAAGATCTGGCACAAAAATACAAATTCAGCAGCAAGTTAAAAAATATATATAATTTACTGGTTTTATCTACATTTAACATATCTATTGCATGACTAACAAAGAAAAACACCTTTTTAATACTTCAGAATACCATAAAATTTAGTGTGAATTTAATGTAGATTTAAAAGAAAAAAAAGGGTTGGACTTTGGAAGTTTTTTTTTTATTTGTCCTCAGTCATAAAAAGCTAATTCTAACTCCTACAGACTGATAAACCAAACTAATCATTCTTACCACAAGACATTGGCTGAGGATGAAAGAAAACAGTAGCAGGAGCACCTGGTGTTATTGAGTCCTTTGCACTTAATGCCCGCATCAAGCTTACTACACCTCATTACATTTCCTATTATAAAACAGGTTTAGGAGGAGGATGTCTTACAATCAAAACAGAGCAAGGACAAACTGCACAGGATGTGGAATATATTCAGATATTTGCCTGAAATCTTCTTTGGATTGGAGAAAAAAAAATCTTTCATCATAGTAGCTTCAAATTCTCACTCCAATGGGATGGTGAAGTGGATTAAAGGGGTGAGTCAGGACTTATGATAAAACACTCCTAATGAAAAACATTTCTTTCAGCAAACCTGTCTCTAAGTAACACAAAACCCACCAGCAAAATCCCTTACTGCCAAAACATGACCGGGAGCTTTGGTGTTTACTCACCTGAACCAAATTCTTCCACCACTCTGCGGTGGCCCGCTGAGCCCAGCTGGTACACCTCATGACCCAGTTTGTCGCAGTCAATTGGAGCTGCACCGAGAGCCTCCAGCTGTTTGGCGATGGAGCTCTTTCCACTGCCGCTGCCTCCCGTCAGGCCGATCACGTAGGGAAGGGGGGGCCGAGACGACGTGTCCTACAGCACAAGAGACGGGAGAAAGGGGGCTTCAGGATGCACTACAAACACAGCAGCACTGCAACTCCAGAACACAGGAAGAGAGAACAAACAAAGAATAATCTCCGTTTGCCCTGACAAAGCAACAACAGGTTTTTCAAACAAGTCGAGCGTGCTCGAACAGACTCTCACCGTGAAAAAAGCAGACTTCTGTCACGCTCATTTGCCAGCTATTGCGATCTACCAGATTCTAACTACCCCAAATCTGTCTGACATCTTCCTCTCCAGCGACCTTTATAACAGAATCTGGCATCTGGCAGAACAATATAAATCAGATTTACCCCATTTTTGTGGACTATAGATCTAAAACAAGTAGATGGGTCCAACTGCAACAAAACATCCCAAATAAGGTTTTCACGCGTTCACTGCAGCCTGAAAGAAACTGAACCGAGTTATGGGACTTACTTTTGGGGGAGTCAGGAGGGTACCCAGCAGACGAGAGCGAAGACTGGAAGAGCTGATCTTCTCCTCCTCCATTTCAGTGTGGTGAGCATCTTTAAGCAACTGGATCTCATGAAGGACAAGAGGTGGCAGTCCCTAATTAAGAAAGCATAAAACAGAAGACATGAAGAACAGGCTACAGGGTTTAGGCTTGGTTTGGGATTCTTTGCCATGTGACACCCGAGCCTGTGTAAGTGAGTCTGTGAGAAAAATCCTGTGACTGTCTGCAGGTTAGCTGCATCTGGATCAATTTGTGTGAATTAAAACAAGCATGTGAGCCTTATTTTCATAATGCAAACATTTCTGTTGACTATTCCACTGTTCTGATTCAGAAACAGTAAACAATTCAGATGTTGTCAAACTGATTTCCTGTTCAGTCATTCAACACTTGTGCAAAATAAATAAACTTAATAAAAATCCATTTATTGTTCTGAGAAAATCTGAAGGTTGTTCTAACATTAATGTCTGTAATTCCTTGGTATTTATCTAGGATGATCACATAAACAACAGACAAAATAATCATGTTTTACATCACAGCACACACAAAAAAGTTTGATTATTGATCAGTTCTCTTCACATGTTGCATACACGCTAACTTACATTTTCCAAACGTTTCTTGTTCACAGCCTCGCCTCCTTTCCTTGTCTCCTCGCTAACCACGATGCACTTGAGCTGGGGGTCCACTATGGACACTCCAAAGGGGTCTTCAAGCGGCACAATCTCCAATTGCAGAGAAGGTCTGGTGTCTTGTAGAAACTCTTGTAGTCTCTGAACCCGCAGAGAGTACGGCTCTATCAGCTCCTTTAGCACTTTTTCTAAAAACCAGGAAGGAAAGGAGGTCAAGGGGACTGGCTTCCGATTGTTGATTCAAAGATCAATTCCATAAGATTTTTGCAGGATAAACAATACATGAATTCATTTGACCAAAAGCTTAAATAACCACTTCTTACTTTTAAGCATCGCTTGGTCACACACACCAATGGTGAACCTTCTACTGGCCAGCAGGCATGAGATGTTAAGTAACGTCTTGTGGGCTCCATGAAGGCGGTCAAATGTCCCCCCTACAACCACGTCGCTGTAAGTCTCCAGAGGCTCGGACTTTTCCTCCTGACTTTGCAGGGTTTCCTCCTTCTCTTGCAGCTTCACTAGCTGTGGCTGAAGCAGCACAGAAGGCAGGCCGGGCCTGCAGACGTAGCAGTGACCAGTGTACCTCTCCAGGCATTGTGTGACCTGGTGAGATTTATTTGGATCCTGCAGAGCAAAGTCTGTTAGCACCACCTCTGGAGAGTGAGACAGGGGTTGTGGTGTGGGGAAGGGGCAGTTCGGAGATGCGGCCCCACTGCTGGTGGCGTGGACATTAGTCAGCAAAACGCGAACATCTAAGTGCCCGCACACATCAGCTGCGTTGCTGTAGAGGCGTGTGATGAGCGTGGACAGGTCCACCACTGGAGGAATGAAAACCGGCCGAGGCTGGGTCCCACCACCCAGGTTCAACCCAGGATGGAGGTGGACGTACAGAGTGCGGTCAACCAGCTGAGCCGCCGAGCTGAGCACTGGAGCGATGCGGAAAGGGAGGGTGTGGAGAGGAGATGTCAGCACAAGGATGCCTGTGCTGAACATGGACATGTTCCTCTCTGGTGTCACAGAGACTCACAGCACTCGAGGACTCTCTCACAGGGTGTGTAAACACTGGATGGACGGCAAAGGAGACACAATGTGAAGCACACCGGGAAGTAAGAACATTAAAATGACAATATTAGCCACAAAGCTTCTAAAACTATCAGATTATTGTAATATTCTGAATCAGTATTAGTAGAATAGAGAGGAAATTCTGATGACATGATATGCAAAACACGTGCTTCACTAAAACACTGACAACACTATTCTAAATGAGCATCAATCTTGAAAGTGTTAATTCACCTTCAAGATTGTTTGTGTCTTCAAATAAAGTATTATATATGTATTATACATGTAGACATAATACTATTAAGTATATTTTAGAGATATTTTTGTTATTTACATTGTTAAACAACACCAAGATTAAAAAAAACAATACAAAGGTTTATAAAGGACACTTAACACAAGTGTCAACGAAGTTCTCCTAAAACCTCATTAAAGTCTTTGACTGGCTCAAATGAACAGGCAGTGGAGGCGTTAGCAAACATGTTCGGCTTCATCACACCACTAACAAGAGACATGATTGGAGAAAACTGTTCATTACCGACCAATCAAATAAGAAAATGCCTTAAAGAGTTTATAACGCGTGTATTAAGGTGTAACTTCAACATTTAGCCAGTCTGACCTTTTGCTAGCTAGCGGCGAACAAAATAACAACAGCAAACAAGCTGACAAAAGTCTAAATCATTTTCTAAAAAGAAGTCCACTTTGAGACCTGAGGTGAACTCAAAGGGAATCAAAGCTAGCTAACTAAATCTAGTATGGCAATGCTAGGGTATACATATAAAAAGCACAGAAATTAAATGGCCGAGACTCGAGCACAAAGTCAGAACAATAACAATTGTAACATTGGTAATGGCAAATATGTTGCACAGTCCGCTTGTTTCTCCAGACAACATGGTGCGGCCCATAAAAACAGCAACTGAAAATCCCTCCGAACTGACAATCTGGGAGTTATTTACATTAGCTGCTCAGCATCGACTTACCTCTGTTGGGCTGATCTACAGCAAAGATAAAAATGAATCAATTGTACGATGCACTGGTAAAACTATCCACATATTTACTGTTGTAGACCTCACTCTCTTCCAGTAGTAATTATTTCAGCTTCTCTACTCCTTTCCCAGCGGCTGTGGATCATCTACGAATAGGTCACTCACGCCTGAACTGGGTAGTTAAGTCACGTGGTTGATTTCCCTGCACCGTGATTGGTTGAAAGACTAGCTACGCAACGTGAGACGGGCCCTGAAATAATTAACGTCGTGATACAATAATTCTCCAAAGTTATGTAATGGACACAGATATATTTGCATCATAAGCTGCTTTTTACTTTTCTTGACTTCACTTTGAAGAAAAACACAACACATTTTACTCAAATGATTTAAACCAACAGATTTGGCAACTTTTCATGTCAATAGTAGAAAGATTTTACATAAAGGCAAACTGTGTAAGCACATCAAAAAGCAATACATTATTCTATATCAAAACAACGGTTTTCCCACACATGACAGCTTTAAAAATGTGTTTAGTTCAAATGATCCCAGATCTTCAACTGCCACTTGTGGCTCCTCTCTGGACTTAGATATTCAAATAGTTGAAACCAACAAATCTTAAAAAAGTTGCAAATTTACCAGTCTGTTTCAGCAGTGAAAAACTCCCACTGGTATTGAAATTCACATTTTCCACAGTAATATTGAAAGATTACGATTACATTTCTATTATACTTGAGGTTGATTTCTGTATAGGCAAAAATAATTAACTGAATTATAGAATTAGTACTGGCTGGCTGCCTGAGAATAAGGTGCATATTCAAGGTCCAGGGTGTCTTCATAATCAATGATTGAACACTCTGTACAAGACAGATGTTAGCCTAATCTATATTAAATCTGCAGTTGCATTTACTGTATTAGATCAGTACATTGGTTTTGCCATTGTCATTGGCAAGTGAAGCAAAACGGCCTTGTTGGTTTCCCAAGATGGTTCTGCAGATCTAAACTGAACAGATGAGTCAAACTACGTGGGATAAACTGGACTGCAAGTATAGTTTCTCTGTCTGAAAGCTGTTAACTTTTCTCTGCTGCCTGAGAAAAACTTTTTTTGCAATCATTCAGGGCTACACTCTGTCTACAAAAAGTAATATAACATAATTGGTGAAATACGTCTCACAATTGAATGTTCGGCTTTGTTGTCAATATAAGTAAAATAGTGTATAGGTGCCATGCAACAATCAAATAAAAGGTTTTCAAAGGACTGGGGTAACTAGTATTTAACATTAAATTGGAAATTCATTTCAACATTTGAGTATTTAATGATAAATTTTAGAGGACAATTTGCTAAAAAAACATTATACATTTACTGCTATTTTTAAGGTAATTTTAGGAATGTTTCATGTTGATAGCATGCATGATTATCACAATATGACACAGTTTACCACTGCTGAGAAGTGGCAGTTCAGAAATCCACTCTTATTGAAAACAAGAGAATTTAGGGCAATTCCAAAAACTGAGGCAAAACAACCACTCTTATTAAAGATTTCTTTTTCAGTTTTCAATTTATAGTCCGAGGCCATCAATTTGCTTTACAAAAATAATACAAATAAATGAAGTGTTATATCCATACTGTAGAAAGAGTTGCATGATGAAGCCCTGGGGTTAGCTGGGCAGAGGCATCACATGAGTAGAAAAAAAAATCAACAACATTATTGGAAAAAAAAACAAAAAAACAATCACAAAAAAAACAGCAGATTCAAGTAAAAAAAACTCCCGTAATCATGATGAAGTTGTATCAAAGTCTGTAGGTAATCCAGAATATTAAGACTCTTAATGGGTTCTACTTTTGGTCAGAGGAATCAGATTGAATCCTTACAAAGAAAAATCTATTTGAGACATTTGCAAGCAATATGCTCAGTAAGAGTTTAACGCAGCTTGAGAAATGTAAGTTGGTACAATAATGTTTGAAAATATTCAAACGAAAAAATGAAATTCTTGATGGTAAAGCCTGCTACATCAGGCCTGACATCTTCAGTGGATCTACCTTTCTAAACATTCTGCTCAGTTAAACTCTCATGGCCTTCATAAAGCCTCCTAACTTGTTTTAATTGACTTTCTTATCACTGGCTCCATCACCGGCTGCTGTGTCGTAGTGGCACTTCTCCACACATCGCCGTGGAAACCATCCTCTTACACGTTCACCAGCTTAAAGAAAAACAAAAAACAACTTCAGAGAGAGCGGAATATGATCTTGTTGTTACTATACAGCAACAAACATATGAGAAAGGGCAAAGCATTTAGTTACGTTTGTTCATGTGCAAACAAAATCAACCAATAAATCATGAAGAACAACAAAGAAAGGATCTTATTTCACCTCTCATTTCCTCCTCGCTCAAAACTTTGTCTCCATACATCCACCATCTACAAAGGAAAACATCAACATATTTGTAGATTAATAATAGAGAACACACCCATAAAACCTTTTAAAAACTGCCGGTGTGTTTCTGGGTGGATAAATTTACTTGGTGCCGCGGGTAGCCAGGATGTTCTCCCCCTTGCTCAGGGGAATCCTGGGTTCCTCTGTGCAAGGGGTTCTAAAAAAGGTTTGGAGACCCTTGTTGAGAGGGCAGCATGCTCCATTATAATCCTCCACTGCCTGGTACTGGACCTGCTAGCCGAGTAAAACACATATGAGGTTATTCTACAGTATTCCCCTTAATTTTTGCCTGGGCTAAAATATGTTGCATGAATCTACAATCCTTCATATCAACCATTTTTTTTACTACAGTATTGACAGTGTATACAAGTCAACTGAAAGATTCAGATATGGAGGAAAATTAATATGTATTTACTACCTTAATGCTGATTTGGATATCAATATTTACAAAGATGGTCAATCGTTACTGCCAATTAGTTAAAAAGAAACAACTGGAACAACAGTGTATAATAAAAAATTAATACATTTATATGATGTGTTCCATTATACATTTTTGGTGACATGGCTATAGCCTAATAAAAAATAAAACATGAATAAATGATTCACAACAACAAGCCTTTAAAACAGATAGAAGAGAATATGTAAACTTGAGCAAATAGTGCAGCACTTGGCAGGTACTTACACTTCTCACTCTTTTATCAGCTTTCTGCTTCAGCTGCTCAATCTGTTAAAAAAAAAAGAATACTACGTTAAAAACAGAAACATTTTCTAACACTGAAACTTTTAATCTAATGGAAAAAAATGACATGTTCCAGAAGAAATACTGAGCTACAAAGTATTGTTCAAGTTCAGAATAAAAGCCAGTGAACATGAGCTCTGTTTCCATTTTTTCTTTGATTAGTCTTCAGATGATGTGTGTAGAAAGGAAAATAATTGAAAAAGTCAAAACCTTAAAACTTCCTCTAATTCACAGAAAAGTTTACACATTTTATAGAGGTAGCTGAATTAAGCTGCAGAAGGTTTCCTAATTTCCTTCTGGTAGATTGCTTAATTTGTTTATCCATTTAAGTGTCTATTAAGTTGAAAACAATAAAAAAAAAATGTAGCCTGGCGACAGTATTAAGCCTAGTTTCTTTACTTTAAACCTGTCAATGTGTTTAATTGACTTTTGGGGGGGGGAAAGTTTCAAAGGATAGTGTGAGATTGCTACTTACTTAAACTTCGCTAAAATAACAAAGTGACTACCAAATTACGATTTCCAAACTGAACGTACAGTTAAGGTGTGCTGGTGACACTTGGGATGAACAGGCCATTCGATGCCATCCCCTTTTGGTGTCCCTGACCATGTGAAGACTTGTTTAAAATTCAGCCAACGGCTGCCAAGGTCATAAGGGAAGATGAACTCTTCTCCGGTTTGGTAATGCTGTATTCTGTCTTTGGCCTGTAGGAGAAAAATAAAAACACAAACGGTAATATTTGCTACCTTATCATCGACATTATTGACATGCTAAATTTTTCTGACAGATATTACAGCAAATTGATATAGGTAATATAGGTGATATTCTAATCATTATTAGACGCAACACAATCATGTATTAGTGACAACATGCTTATAGAATATTTTTTTAAGAGAACAATAATATTATTTTGACATTGTAGGTGATCTCTTGGTTTGATGATCATCATTTTAGTTCACAAATATTCAATACAAAAAAATGACTAGAAATCAAGACATGCTAACCTTTTCCTCAATCCAGGACTCGATTGAGGTTTTATTTCGAAGGATAACTTTCATCTGAAAAAAAAGAAAGAAAGATCTTTCATGTGCAGACACTTCAGGTAGCTGTGTCTTTTCATAAAAAGGTTACTGTGATCTTGCATAATTGCAAGATGAAGGATGTTCCTCACGTTGATTATTATTCACAGGTATTTTAGGAGGCCTTGGTGTAAGCATCACTGTAATTACTGTAAATATTATTGTTCTTACATACTGGTTGGTCTGATGTAATTCTGTCTGTCTTCTACTAAAAAACACGAAGCTCACATTTGACGAGGCAAAGTCAGGGCTCAGATGTTTGTGTGACAAAAGGGTTGAGTGAAAAAACCTACCTGTATGAAGAAAAGCATCCCAACGGCAATAGTAGTGCCCAGTGCCAAGCCTAAGGCAAAGAGAGTGGCAGCAAAGGCAGGCACACTGAAGGGCATGAGGGGCTGAAACTGCCGAACAGCACTCATGTCAATCTTTACAGTACTCCAGCCAAAAGATATCTGCAGGCAAAAGAAAAGAACAACTTGGAGAGTCTTTCTATAGCTGAGAAAACAGGACATCAAATACCAGGTGAGATGACTGGAGGGGACCACTCACCCTCTCATACAGCTGGGTGTACATGGTCATAATGAAGATGATGGCAGCGTGAGAGCATCCCATTGGAGCCAGTAAAAGGAAGCTGGTGAAGTAGGCATGGTTCAAGTGGCCGCAGCAGTTGTTGATCCAGGGGCAGTGGTGGTCCATCTTCATCACACACCTGTGGGAAGGGAAGATGGGAGGTGCACAGGCAATAGGCTGGTCATTTGAGAGGGTACAGAGAAAACAGTTTTACCACAGAAAAAAACCTGAATCAGCTCATTGTGTCAGTTCACTGTCCATTGGTATAAAGATTAGTCAGAAAATGCAAGTAAAAAATTCCTATAACATATTAAAGAGCAAACACCTGAAACTGGTGCTGTAGTTATTTGTGGTTAGTTAAGTTGTGCAAGTTAGAGAAGGAAGAAGTAAATTAATTTGATAAGGTGAATATTCAACAGGAAATTTTGCAATATAGATTTACAAGTTCAACACAATAATCATGGAAATCATTTAATCAAGGATGCACATCCTCTGTTGCACTTGAATACGTACAAACAGACACACACTCAACAATATCTCTGTGACTTTGCAGCCATAGCACCTCACCTTTTCTTCCTAGATCTCACCTTCATCTCACAAAGGAAAAGAAATCAAGTCCACCTTTAGTCATACAAACACTTGCCTGTTACACTTTCGACAGTGGTGAGATCTGGGAGCTTTGTACCCCTGGCACAATCTGCAGTACTGTAGGTATTGAGCATCTTGTTGATCCTCCTGTTTAAAAAAATGAAAACTGTATTTCAGGAGGCTTATGTCACCTTCAGAGAGTAACAACAGACAAAGCCTGAATTCCAGACTGTTCAAACACTGCAACAAAAGTCTGCTGTAAAAAAACGCAGGTAAATCTTACTGGTTTCCAGGCGATAGGAATGTATCCAGGTCCAACAAACATAGCATTGAAGTAGTTATATAAGATGAGGACAGTCCAGTTGATGAGCATGATAAAGTTGATACTGCCGCCTGTTGTGTCAAGTGGCCAGTACCAAATAATGGAGTCTAGAATGGCCATGGTTGAGCATATTGCAATGACGGAGAGTGCTATGACTGGGCCCCAGTGGCACAATCTACGAACCTCGTGGAGGTTCTCAAATGTTACAAAGGTTGACATGACATTCATTTTCTTCATTAAGGGATTAGTATGGGTACTTTGGGCCTTGAGTTCCTGAAATGTATTGAGCTTTAATGTACTACTTCCTTCCTCTGCTTTCTTGCAGTCAGTGGTGAAAGCAGTGCATATGTTTTTTCTCATCTTCTGAGAATCCAGCAACTATCCTGGCCTTGGGTTACTTGGCCTCTTGGTGTCCCATTGATCCTTGCTCTGATGAAGAGCCACATCCTCTCCTGTTAACCTTTAAAGCAGCCCCTGTGACTGACTCAGATTCTCCATCTGTGAGTTAGTGAGAGAGAAAGAGAGAGAGAAGGACAAAGTGTTGCCACACTTAAAAACGTCTTTAATGTAAAGTTGTGTAATACAACCAGTAGTAAGGCCTGCACTTGCCTTTGTGTTAAGTTCATTTAAATGAGTGCCACTGGCACAATTGTTAGGTTAGTACAAAGAAACAGAGAACAAATGACCATTTTAGTCTACATAAATCCACAGCCAACGTTCAGTTAACCTTGAAAAAACAAACAGTTCAGCTAACATTGATACGATCTTCCAAAAAGATCTTGATCAGTTTCTTGCATTTCAGTTGGATTATTGTGGCATCCATTGATATCGTTAATATACAAAAAACAAAATTTAGAACATTTTCAACTTAAAAGCAAGAAAACCAAATATGTAGTATAAAATAATTTTGCTTGAGTCAAATTACTCTGAGGAATGACTGCGCTGAGTAATTGACAACTAATTAGCATCTGTTGCCAAGCTAGCTAATTCTGACCAGGAATTAGAGCACTATGGTAATTTATACAAGTCAGGAATTATCTACAAAAGAGATCAAACCAGTCAGATTTATAATTCAGTAGTTTAACTTTTAAGACGATCATTTGCCTGTGAAACATTTTTTGGTTTAGCATCAAAGATGCAGATGCTAGCAAACTACCGTTAGCTTCCCCATCAGCTCCATTTACAACACGAACCTTTAAGTTGGAAATATTGTCATAAGACGTAGACGACACACAGGTATAAAGCTACAATAACACTACGAGGTGTAAACATTAGAACTGGTTTCGTGGATCGCATAAAAAGCTGTCACTTTAAATTACAAACCTGACCACTTCCTTGATCGTTCTCTTCAAATGATGTGTACAGGGGGAACCTTTCTCATCGTCTCTTGGTAGCCAGTATAATTAACCATTTGTTGTCTTTTTTTAACAATGCAATTAATTGCACACTCTTAATATTCATTTAAGAAAATGTACATATCCATCTGCAGTGGATATAAAAAGAAAAAAAATATTTTCTTACAGAATCCCTACTAGTTTCGTAACGAATAGGAAAAAGACAGGGTGTAGTTCCTCACCGAGCATTTTATACTGCGACTCAAGGAAAAGACTCCATTCGAAGCTTGTTGATATTCTGAGCTAACTGTCAACCAGCAAGCTACTCTTCTATCTTAACTTAGCCGTCAGAATGTCATCAGACTTTGAAACCTACGAGCAGGATTTTGGGAATATCACTGCAGAAATAACTAATAAGATTGGCAAAATTCCTAAACTAAGTGGAGGTAAGATAGTTCATTTTATTAGCATGAATCGCTGAACTGGTTGGCTAGTTTGCTATCAGTTAGCTATTAACTCTCAGCTGAGAAGCGAGATCCAAGTGGTAGCAGGTGAAGCTTATTGGTCTTGTCACAAGATCGACTTGTTATGTAATTTCTTGGGGGAAAAAAAATTCGAAGACAATGTTAAATATAGTTGTTGTGCTCTTGCTGTTTTAAATACACAGTACATAGAAGCGGTGTGTTTTTGGTATGTTTTAATGGATTGTAGTCAGTGTGACACAGTATAGTTGAAGAGTCACGTATTATTATGGTTGTATAGATGTGAAAGTAAACATAGGCTAATATATTGTTCAGTAATCACAGAGGATTATTTGGCAAACATAAAACTATTGAAATATAGACTGAGCTATTGATAACACAACTTTTATCATTATGCATTCATAAGGAAAATCAACTATTGACAAAGTCATCTCAAAAAGCTTTCTTGGTTTATTACATAAATGAACATTTACTTATAGAACTATTTTAAAACCATCCCTATTTTACGACATTAGGTTTATTGACATTGGATTAAAGAACCTACTTACTTTAAACCTTTATCACTGCCTTTGGGCTCATACACCGTGTCTCAGAAGATATGTTTGACTGAATGTTTCTGCTTTGGACTCACAATTCTTTAAGAATCATGGCTGTGCAGTCCACTGAGTAATTATAAATCATGTCCTATTCAATTTGACAGAGGAAGCAAAAGTGCTTCATGTCTAACACATCGTAACCATAAGAGTCTGTTCAGTACAATCTGCTAATATTGAAATAGTTCACAAATTAATTTGAATTGCGCTTTTACTCTTTCTCTTCTTTATTTTTATAAATCAAAGTTTTACTCTTTACTTTTTCTCTTAGTGTACCACTGGGTACAAGTAACTTCAGACTGAATGTTTTGTCCTTGTTGTTCTGCCAAAGTTTGTGTGTTTCATCAATTCTGAAAGTTTCTGTGGCATGTGTAAAAGAAATAAATCAGGAAACAAATGTTAGAATATTTTTTACTAATTCTTCAAAGTCTCACCAAAAATATGAGAAATAATTCACTTAAATGTTTCAATGAACAGGATATCATGTTCATGCCTTAGATGCAATACTTTTCTAAAGTAAATATCAAAATGACTTCACAACACCTTTTTTCTTTAGTTTTGTTCTCTGAGCAGAACTCTTCATCTTTCCATCAGCAGGTGGTAGTTTTAGTAAATATCCATCTATATTTCACGTCCCTCCAGCTTGGGTCTGAGTTTGAGTAAGAGAGCACCATCTCACCTTTCACTGAATCGCCCCGGGCTGTTTACTGTGTAAGGTTTGAGGCTGGACACAGGTTTTAAAAATGAATTTGAGGACTGGCAAAAGGTAATGTTGGTCCATGGTGCTTGGCTTGGCTTTTTTACAATATTTCAGTCCCAGAGCTAGTAGCCTTGTGATTTGCCTTTAAGTTAGAAGATTTTCTGATTCTGTGTTTTAAAATATTGATCACATTCTTCTTGTAAATATAGATTCATTTAATTTAAAAAGCATTCAGTGTTATGACTACCTATTAGGTAGTCTCTTACCTCATAAGAAAATCTGTTGGGTTTAGAAATTAAAGGTGTATACCAATAAGACATATGTAGCAGTCAACAGGAAAAAACACAATGTACTGTCCATTAGTGTATATTCGATTGGTGCAGACATTTCAAACCTAGGAGTTGTCATTTAGTCATTATTTTATAATGACCGATCTGTTTCCCCCTCCAACACCACTGCGTTTGTCCAAAGAGACCAACACTTGCTTGTAAAAGAGTGGTTGTGCTCCGTATGTAGGTATGGTGGGTAGTTCCATTCTTTGCTGCCACAGCATATCTAATGGACTCTCAAAAACACAGTGTACATTGAGATTTACTGGATGACCGTACTTTAAAAGATACATTTAAGGTTGTTTTTAATGTCTCTCATAAGCTTCCTAATTCCAAATGGAACCAAATAGTTCTCATGTCAGATCAGACTTCAGCTCTGACCTGTCTTTATATTTGCACTTTAATTTAGCAGAACTATTTGTGTCAACCACTTTCTCAACTTCAACTTCATGTTTATCAGAATCTGTAAAATAGAATTCATGTGGCAGTCGCCTCTGTCTTCCTCACGTGAGAAAAGTGATATTGGGGGGAAAAAAAGAACTTGTCAGTCATGAAACATAAATTGTGTTGTGTATTGTGGATTCAGAACCTTCACAGCCCGAGGAAAGAAATGGCTTAGAAGTTTGCTTGCATGACAGATTGTAATGTAGTGCTTGCCCTGTAGTAGCAGGCTGAACGGGCTCTGGCTGGAGTGGGATGGAATGGAAAGCAGCGGTTTCTACCTCCCTAAATACTGCAGAGTTTTTGTATTTGCAGAGCACATTCTCTGCCACTTTGTGATTTTTTTTAAATATTCATTTCAGCCTTTCCAGGCTTTCTCTTTGACCTGTAGAAGTTTACGCAAACTTGTAAGTTTCCTTAGGCTTTTCAGTTGTTTCGCTACACTCTCAACTATGTTGGAGATGTGTTGATAAACAGATTCCCTGTGATTGTGAATTCCCTAAAACTTGAAAATGTTGACACACTCCACCTTTGCTCCTGTGATGCAGAAGGGGTTGTGTCTTCATTCCCTTTCTTCTAAAATGAATGATCTCCTGTTCTGTTCAGTTGACACTGAGCAGCAAATTTTTCTTTGCGTCACACTGAAAGGTATTTGATTTCCTGCCTAATAGGAATTCTCATTATTTTTTCTAATCCTGCAAATGATGGCAAACTCGACAGCAGTTGTCTTCATGCTGCAGTCACTGATGTACAAAGTCAACTGTAGGGTGCTCTGGTTTGGAGCTCCAAGGTGGAAGAGATTTGACTGGCAAATTGGAATAAAATCTGTTCGTGAGCAAGTCCAATATTCTGTTTGCAAAGCTCTGAGTCTTAGTTTCACAGAGGCGATCGCATCACATTCTGCTTTAGATGTTGTTTGTTTTCAGCTGTGTAAATGCAGAGTTGAGATCAGCGTCATCTGATGACCTGTTGGCTCTAATTCCTGCTTTGTGAAAGTGTTCTTTTAAAAAATTTTTTACAATGGGCTGACATGACACAAGGAACCTGTGGCACTGGTTTGCACACTTACACATTTTTATCTTTTTTCATTCGGGGCTGCAGACAGCTGGGAGTATCTGGCCATAGCTTTTCTCTTTTGTGTGGCTCTGTTCATCCATAGTTGAGGCAAAACTGTTTTGGCAAATATTTTTATTTTCATTGTGGGTAGAATTTTTGTTAGAGCGCCCCTTCTATGTCCTCCACTCCTAAATATGAAAGTGGCTGTCCTAGGTGGCAGTATTTCTGACAATGTGAGTGTCTTTGCTCAGTCATTGCATTCTCCCCCAACATGGATACTTTTTGGACGCCTGTAGCTCATGAGGACGGTTGGTAACTCAAGCCCTAGCTTCTCTGGGTCACGTGTTAAGCGTCCTTTGGGAAGACAGTAACACTGTGGTGTGTTGCGTAGAAGCGCTTTGACACGCTCACTCATTCAATGGAAATAAGGATTAGGAATTATCTATATGTATAAAATAGAAACCATTTGAGACAACCAGAGGCAGAACAAGACGTGTTCCCGCACATTATTGCCTTTGTTCATGAAGCTACATGTAGTTTTATGATCTGGTACCACACCTCTGCATTTATTGTTTCCATATTTTGCTGCCAAAAAGCTAATTTCAGAGTCAAGACCAATTTAGCATTTGTTCGGAGAGTAGAGTTGCTTTTTCCTTAAAATAACTATTGGATGTTGTTTAGTTTACAATTGCCTTTAGAACTTGTAGTGGTAATGAGTTTCAATGGGTAATGTGGAAGAGCAGCCGTGGGGTGAGATGTGGAGCGGTGCGTTAGTCATTCTGAGTGGGACTCATACTTCTGGCAAGTGAGCAAAGCTGACACCTCCCATCCCTTTGAGTTGGCATGAGGTGTCTCACTGCTCCTCAATAGAAACCAACAAAGGCCTCAATAACTAAGAGACATCAAATGTTGGTTCGTCATGTGGAGAGAATGTGTAAATATATCTTCAAATGCGTCCTCTTGTGTTGTTTTTTTCCCACTCTCTTTCCTTTTCCTCTCCTCCTGTCTTCCCCCTTGCGGGGGAGTTTGGCTGTTGTCATGAAGCACTGTTCCTCCGTCGGCTGATCGATATGTTGCTGTTTTTTCTCTTTCAGACGAGAAGACGCAGCTGGTTCTAAATGTCGACAAACAGCTTGAAGAAGTCAGAGAGCTGGTATGTCTTTGATCAGTAATTTTCTGCTCTTCCCATTTCCTAAATTATGAATTTGTGCGTGTGTGTATGTTTGTTTGGGGGGGGTGGGGGGGCTACAGACAACAGCACCTGTATTATCCTAGTGGTGACATGACATGCAGACACGCACGCACTTCACACTGCAGAAAGGAAGCTTGCTCCTCACATGATTACTACCCAGTAATCTGCTTTTAAGTGACACCCCTATGACACATTTCAAGCCATTATCTTGAGGCGGGAGTCTTCATGCTGCTGTAAAAATAAATAAATAATTTAGAAAAAAATGAGTAGTCACCTGACAGAGACAAATTGTCGTTGCACTTGTCTTGTTGTGGCATAGTTATTAGGTTTCCTCCAAATCTGCCAAGCAGAGATATGTCTTCTGATGCATCAGCTGTACTTTTACCTCATCAAATGTGACATTGTTGGGCCTGTTGGTGTCATTGCAATAAACAGGACTTCATATTTGATGGTGTATTTATTCAGAGTGCAGCCCCACTCCCTTTCTGCTTTCATCACAGCTGAGTGACGTTAGCAGGCAGCATTTTATTTATATAAAACTACTCCGGAACATATTAAAGCTAATGTTTTTAAAGCAGAATATTTTCAGTGCTGTGGTGATTTATTTTTCCCCAGTAAGCAGCTTTTTGTCATTTTGTGTCACGAAAAGAAAGTTGGTACAGGAATTCTGCACTTCTCAGCCTGTTAAGCCCCTGTTTTTAGATAACTTTCTGTAAGAATTCTCAATGAATTACACATTACAACATCGTAGACTAAATCTTTGTAGTTGATCATGCAATGAGTTCTCGCAGCGAGTAATCCATGTTAATTTTTGGGGTTTTGGCGAGGCTAATTATTGAAGTTAAGGTAACTGAATAAACTGTGCTTTTAGCTGGAGCAGATGGACCTGGAGGTGCGGGAGATCCCCATCCAGAGCCGGGCCATGTACAACAGCAGGCTGAAGAGCTACAAGCAGGAGATGGAGAAGCTCGAGAAAGACTTTGTAAGTACATAAGGCACAACTGAAAATTTTCCTTGTTTATTATAGGAAAAAAAAGGAAGTGTTCATCTCTGTAGGCCATTTTCCATAAATGAACTCAATGTTTTTATCCACAAATATAGAAAACAACACCCCTGAGATCTGTTAGCCCCATAGTTTACTTTCTAAACTAAACTTTCTTTGACAATCATTCTCACCCACACAAACATTCCAACACTTTAGCTTGGTGGTTTGTCCACAGAGGTAATTCGCAGCTCTTATTTGAACTGGCAAGCAGTGCCCGTTGAGAGCGGCTGTTTGTGTTACTGCTGCAGATTCTGACCTTGTTAAGTAATTCATAATTCACTGTACGCCTTGACTTCATTTCAAGCATGTGGTAAAGCTTAATGAACAATCCAGTCTTTTGGGTGACTCGCTTTTAGCCCATATTGTTGTATTCCAAAATCATTTATGATAACTGATAGATAGTATTATGGTTGATAGATAGTATTATACAAACATATTTTTCATGTTCATAAGGAATTTTCTTTATCGTATAACTAGCTAGGGTCTTTTTAAATGAATGATGGTATTATTATAATCCATAAGTCTGTGTTTTCACATGTGTATTTTTTGTTTTTATTATTGTTGTCCCTTTTGTGCTAATACTCACAGCAAAACAAAAACATGGTGTATAATGATACTGCTGACCTTGAGCTCGAGAGCACAAGCTTTGTCCTCATATAAGTCAGTGCTGATTCATTTGTGTCCTCAACTTCATAATGGATAGAAACATTACACACTCAAGTTAAAAATACATTTGTGACTTTTTATTGTTATCTGTGGGACTACTGGAAACAATGATGCTCAATGTGAAACTGGGATCTCATGTGAACACCATGGTCACAAGTCAGTCTTTTTCAATTGATATTAGACTACCACAGTACAGGTTGAAGTTTGGGACAATACACGCCTAGTGACTCTATAAGGAAATTGATTTTACTCTTATTCAAAAACCTTGTTCCATCATTATGTAATATAATTAACTTCAAAATGTTTTTCAAGTCCGAACTAAATTAATCTTCCAATATCTCGCTGCTCCAAATGTTGGAAAAAAAAGCATGACCAGCTAATGTGCGTGGAGAAACATCATGCTTGTGATTTGCGAACACACCACCGAGATCACAGGAGTTCTTCATGCCAGGACTGGATGCTTTCCTCACCCTGGGCATTTAATTGGCCGATTTTTAATCTTGAACTTTTCTTCTTTCCACACTCCCTGTGTTTCTCAGCAAATACTCAGCACCTGCTGTGGTTGAGTCTAATTTTCATTACTTGGACTTTTACTCCAGTCTATGGGGGCAAAATGTTTTTTTTTTAACCTAGAAGGAAAAAGTTATTTTGACCTCTTTTGATTTCTTTTGCACCATACACAAAGGGAGTGTAATTACAGTCAAACCCTTTTTGTTTGTCAGTGTGCACTATAGCTGTATGCATCTTGGCCAAAATACTGAAATGTTAAGCATCATGTAATCCAAATGGAAAGGAAGGAAAGCTAGCAGACTTGTATTTCCTGTAAGGAAGTCATTTGGATTTTTACTCCTCAGTGGCTGATGTGGTCCGATCAGGGCAAATTTAAACTAGGATCCCCCACGTCACAAAGTTACCTTTTAGTACATCTTGTTTCTGATGCAAGTGTTCTAATGGCATGGACTTCCGCCCCCGCAGATGTGCTTCAGATGTGCCAAATGTTATAGCCAAGCTCAGTCTGACTTCCTGCAGGCCAAAGAAGGACATGACACTCAGCTCGAAAGGCGTCTGGTGGAAAAAAAAAGGCAATCTCCTTTCTTTTTAATGTAAAAAGCTCTCTCTTTGTTGTGCTTTCTGTGGATATCAAGGCCCTTCCACTCCCTCCCTACCCAATCTCCCCGAACTTCCCACCCCCCACTGGCCTCCCACGGGTTTCTCCCTCCTTAACCTGCTCTCTCATCCTCTCATTCACCCGTGGTTTGAAGTATTCCTACCACCGGTGTGCCAGCTTGAGACTTCATCCCTTCTCCTTTCCAGACAGGGCAACAGTTGACCTCGGTTACCCATCCATTTCATCCAGGAAGACAACTTATCAAACAGGCATCCCTGAGGTGTATACAAGAGCTTTGTTGCCGTAGCCAAGAGCTTCATTCTGATAATGGAGGAGACAGTGGGGGGCAAGAAGGTGCAGGGCCAAGACAAACAGGCATTACACTAACCAAGAGGGTACAAGCCTGAATAAGCCCCTGAACACCCGCCCCCCACCCACCTAAAAAAAGGAAAATGTGGCAATCCTTTTTGATAGAGATGGCATGTTGAAGTCAGAGGAAGCAGAAAGGGATGGCTTTTAGGGTTTTCTTTGATCAGGCAATGTGCACAAACAACTCGAGCCTGATTTGATTCAATTTATTTACACGTTTTTTACAGTTTTTCAAGGGACCAGTATAGATCCAGTTGGGGGCATGCACACATCTATGAAACACCAAAAACAAAGGAACAAGAAAAGGCGATCCACTGCTCATTGTTTACATAAGCTGTCATCAAGTATGACTGGCTGAAAGATGTAGACATCCGTTCAGGTTTTAACACCCTCTAAGCACATATGTTGAACATCAAAGGCTGAAGGTTAGCGCGTGTCACATTGTGAGTTCTGGTTAAATGTATTCACTAAGTCAAAATAAATAGGACTGAAACAATTTCAAGGTGATATTGAATGACAATACAGAATTGATTTGTTTACTTATTCATTTTTTTACCCCCCAAATTAGGCTTTCTATTCCTAAATGACATTCTTGGACTATTTGCTCATTAATCAGTACTGATGATAGCTGAAAGCAGCTGTCCTAAATTATACATAGATTTGCCATAAAATGTTGATCTCCTTTAAATTGGATTTATCTATTGAAAATTACTCTACAGTTTCCCGAAAAATATCTTCATTTTTTTGCTGTGTTTATTTTATAAGTTAAAGATCTGTTGTGGGGTTTAAGGATGGCTACCCCGCACTGGTGTCTATGGTTCATGAGCTTTTTTTGCAGTAGATGGCGGTATTGCTCTAAGAAATGTGTTTCTGGTTAGACCACATCACAAGGCAACACTGAGCTCCTTTCGCAAAGACTTTGGCTTTCTGACGTACAAGTTCACTTGTTTAAACAGATCCTTCCACTTACTTTTTCTCAGTTTTTGTTGGAAAAATGAAAGGTGGGGTAACAAAAAAATTATATCAAACCCCACACCACCAATACCTCCTGTCACAGTGACCTCCAATTTCACACATTTTCGTTACAATTTCTTATCCCAGTTATGCTCAATGAAAAAAAGCTAAACAAAATATGAGATATTTTCTGACATCATGTGTCAATGGCATGGTAAACACCTAGTACAGTAGGTTTAGCTAATAATCAAATCCTGTGTTCATTGTTCTTTCTGACGTGTATCGTGGCCTTTATTTCACCTCCTAGAACATAATGTTCACAAAAATGTACGAATTTTTCTCTCCCCATAAGTAAAACACTTTTGTGGTCCAATGGGAGATGATTTTCTGTTCAAGTATCCTTGACGCTCAAAAAAGATGTTAATATATAGCAATTTAAAATCAAACTTGGATAGGTTTTACTGTTCATTACTTCACTTTTCTCTGTCTTTAAGTTGAAATTAGAGCCACTTGTGGTCAAGGCACTTCTGTTGATGGCAGATGTGCTTAGTTTTTTCTGAATACATTTTTGTAATTTGCTTCGATATGACTTTTTAAATGTTGAATAGTGAGCTGATATTTGTTTGTCGAAATATGTAGACTTGTCTTCCATCAAAGCCCAGAAAAGGATGTGATTAGTTAACATTAGCCTTCCTTTTGAAACCCATGCTGTACCATCACATGACCTTTATGTGAGGTTGGTAAATATGCTGTCACAGCACATAATGCAGGTTAGTACAAAAAGTGAAAATGTGATACAGTCACATTTTGTTGTATTCATCTGTAGTTCAGTACTTAAACAAGTGTGTTCAGTGAGGTTTGAATTGTTGTCGGGATGATTTATTTCTGTCTACAACTCATTCCTACCGTCATTTATTCCATTATAGATCTCAAAATGAAGTCATGAGGGCTGCTGTCATGGGGATGCAACTATCCCGTCTTAATTTTCTTTGTATGTTGGGTATTGTTTGGAATTTCAGTCATGGTCAAGGAGGATGTCTGGACTTCCTTTTGCCTTTATAAAAACCTTTAGATGGAATGCTTCCTTGCGTCTGTCCTGGAAGATAATTAATGCATTTCCAAAGAGTTAGCCAACCTTGAAATATTGAACAGCTTATTTTCTAGGTACGCTATGGTGAATGGAATGAATAGATGTCTGTACTGAATATTTTCTCTATATATATCCATTTCATAGGTGACCTTAAAGATAACTTTGAATTTTTAAAGGAAATTCAATGTGAGAAAGGGTTTAATTAAAATGTGTAAATTCAAATGTTATGCGGACACACCTGATCGTTTTAGATCCATTGTGAACACACCAATGTGACTAAGTTTAGCTTTTAAGAACGAACAGTTTAATGACTCTTGACATTACATCGCACAGTTATTTTTCTTCTTGATTCCTAACTTGACGATAAACCTCAGCCATTTATTTTTTTCTGATAGTAAGAAAATATATTCTATTGAAGTCAATTCTCTTTCAATTGAACTGTGCGGCTGATTGAACAGACAACTTCTCTTTTTTGGTCATTTCAGTTTTGATTTATATTATGAACTACAAATGCATCATCATGAACATTTCAGGGTTTCAGAGACTCCAACTTTTCTTGAAGGTGGATGGAAAACCATCGTGTTAGGAGAGTTTGCAAAGTCGTTCAGCAGAAACTTGAGGTTTTGTATTAAGAGGTTCTGACATCTAAAATGTTGTTGATGCTGATAATTAAGTCAAGATTTAGGGTCTGAGGGAAGATGTTTAGGACAACTTTGCTTCTCTCTCAGTTACCAGACTGAAAGTGATTATATATTAGTATTGCTGTAATCCCTCTTGAAGGGTTCTCGTTTGTTGCCCCTGGTCCTCATTACGATGACTCCAGCAAGCAACAACATGACAGACCAACATTAGTTAAATGTTATACACTTTAAATCTCCTTAACATTGCAGAAGCTCACTTGTTCTTATTAGATGCAGAGGAGTAAAGGCAGATTGAGTCTTTTCATAGTTTGTTGCTTTACAACCCAACAACAACTCAAAAGTCTAATTATTCATAGCTACTTATAAAAAGACTCACTCAATTGTCAGGGATTTTTTTTCTCCTACATTCACTCTGCTCTCAGTGCAGATTTAAGATGTAAGCAAACAGATCTACCCCTCTACTTATGAATTACAGCTTTCATTTGGAAGTCATCGTGCACTGTACGCCTTCCCCGGGTCCTTTGTGGATTTGTGGCATTGAAGGCTTTTCCTTGTCTTCTTTATGGACTCCAAGTCCGGATTCATTTGGTGGATTAGCTGTGCGTCACTCATGTGAAATGCATGTTTTATGTGTTTGATAGTGTACTTGCAGTGGTTGTCTAAATCTAGATTGAAGGACAGTGTCACAAGGACAACAAGATGTCCTGGTGGATGCCATAATTGAGAAACGTGAGGCAAATATGCATTGATCTTAATTTCGATTAGAGGTCTGTCACCCATATGTGACAATCAGGTATGCCTTGCAGGGAGCTTTGAGAACTTTTGTGTCTGCTTCAACTAAATTAGAGAGTTTTAGAATGAAAAATTCTAATGAAAGTATTACCAGACGGTAAGGAAAATGAGTTTCCATAAAAAAAAGAGATGAGAATAATTTGTTGGTTGAGTTGTCACGGGTCGGCCTACAGAAACTTCACGGCCTCTCATTTCTGAGCAGATCAGCCCCCTACTTGCTCCTCGTCCCTTTATGATAACTCCTGTTTGTATGGAGGGAACATCTGCATTACGCCTGAAGCACTGGATTTGTTTGTCAGTGTGCAAATTCGGCCGTTATCCTTTCACACAATCGTTTCCGACCCTCGCTTATCTCTCCTGGTCCCTCCAAAGTCACCGCACTTCCACACACACTGACAGCGATCAGTATAGCTTTCAGACGCTTGTCTGGCTCAGCCTGCCAAGAAGCGAAAGCCCTCCCTGGTCCCCACACTGTCCTCGGGGCTTGTGTGATTGAGTGACTGCAGAGAGTGGGGGCCATAGATAATAAGCGGGGAATATAAAGGCACAGGGTGATGATATGATAACACCCCCTCCCCCCTCTCCCCTTTCCACCTCCCCTTCACTTTTTCTTTCTGTTCTTCTTTCTGTCCTACCCCGATTTTCATGCATGCAGCCTATCCCATGCAGTAGTGTAAACCAGAAGTGACATGTGACACCCAGTCCCCAGTGATGTGCTGACAGGCTGGTACTAGAATAGGTGACAATGTTTTCTTTTTTTGCCAGACTGGCTTAAGTATGGTGAGGGGATTCATAAAGTATTTATGAAATATATTATGAATCATTGGGTCTGTGTTTTCCCTCTGTATTTTAGGCAGTGGCATTTGATTTTTAATAAGTACGGCTCCGAGAAGGCAGGACTGAGGAACGGGGCACACAAACGAGGAACTCTTTACATTTCCCATTTACTGGTTAAGAGTTCCGTGTTTACAAATGTTTTAACCTCTGCTTGCAGCCTCTCCGCTCAAACACACACACACACACTTCCACACATACACAATTAAACTTAGTTTAGTCCTCTCATCCTAAGTGTTTCTAATGAGGGAGCATGCCAGACAGAAAGGGGAAGCGTTTTTGCTCTCAGCAACCAACAATTTTGCCCATTCTTGTGTGTTTTTGAAGGCTGCAGTGGAATCTGGCTGTGGCCTTGATCAAAATTACATTGTGGAAGATGAATTAAGTTTTTTTTTTTTTTTTCAATTATCCCAGAGCCAACATTAGAGCATCGTCTTTCTCCTGCAGTGAGACTAAACTCTTTAGTTTTGTTCCCCTCATCATCATAGAGCAGTTGTGTGTTCTCTGTTGTCAGGCATCTGTCTCTTTTTACCACTGTTTTTACCACTATAGGGTTTTATTTTATTCAGAGATCGCCCATTTCACAGATAACATATTGCGCTGGCTCAAAAAAGATCAGATGCTTTGTCATTGCCGTTGTCCTTTTTTAATATTTTATCTGAGATTTCCTTTTCAATAATGAATACTAAACATGCGATTTTCACCTTTATTTTCTGCTCATTAACACTGTTAAGAAATCAACCTATTTTTTGCTACCATTATATATTTTTCCCAACTGGTTCCAGAGGTGTTTCCTTCAATTGGTCAGTGCTCTTAATTTCTGAGCCACTGTGGATTCCATTGCAGAGCCTGCAGATGCCAAGGGAACTGTGAAGTGTATTGGGAAGTTCAGGAGGGCACATGTTGGAAGAGCTTTGGAAGGGGGCCTTACTGGTCTCATCAGCATTTGAATGTGTCCAAGCCACTGAAATAACAAAGTATACATAAATGTATAGAGATAATGATCTGGCTAAGTCTGTATGTGTTCTGCTGTATTCTCATGCTAATGAGTTAGCTATTCAGCACCAACAATGGTCACATTACAATAAAAGGCACTGAAGGAGTTGGTCTTCTGTGTGCGTGTCCACTGATGCACGTGCACAAGCTCAGCAGGCCCGACTCCTCTCCCTTTGTGTCTAGGTTCTTTTTTTTTATTACATTTTTCAATTTTAGATAACACTCCAAGAATAGACATCAAACAAAAATGAATCATAAATCGAGGTCAGGACTGAGCCTCTTTCCAAAGCAGAGAAAGGGTTAAAAGTGAAGGTATCTTTAAAAAAGATGGAAAGACTGATAGAGGAGCTCTCCTCTGCAGAGGGTTCAGTGAACCATATGTAGGTGCCCACAGGCTAATGGGCCGGTTGGTCCCTGGCTTGCCAGGTATCCAGAATGCACTTCTCCCACCCCCCTGTACACAAACCCAGACACATCCTAACTCTCTGCTTGTCATCCTCCAGCACCTACCTCTCCCACCCCTCCCACCTCCACTCTGTGAAAATACCTTCTCCACTTCCCTCTAATCTCACCTTTTTCTCTGGTGCTGACCTGGGGAGGCCTGCTTTATTCCCCACTGCATGCCAGAAGCCAGCGTTGTGATCGGAGCCCAGGCCCCTGTGCTGGTTCCCCTCTCCTTTCCTCTCTCCTTGCCCTGGCTGCCCGCTTCCCCGAAGGCTCTGCTCTATTGATTTACTTCTCCAACCAATGCCGTCTCTGTTTTCCACCACCAGCACCTAAGTCCCCCATCTTCCTCTTTCCTCATTTTCTTTCACTCTATTCTTTTTGTTTCTGCCTTTCTTTCTGTCCCCTCCTACACAACTCCGGGCTTTAGAAGAGAACAACCTGACAGGACAAGAAAAAGACGTGGGGCAAATACCGATGGAAGGATGGGAGTGTGGGAGGGGAGATGGGGTCTTTGATTTTTCATTAGAGGCGCCCTCATATTTTAATATCGGGTTTAATCAGGCCCTCGCGCCTTAAAAAAGGAACCACTGAGAGGTGATCCCTTGGCCTGTAAAAAGTACATGGTGCTTTTTCCATCAAAGCCCTCCTTGAATTTGCTCTTTTGTTTAGAGTTCACTTGCAGTCCTTCCCCCCCTCTCCTCCTCTCCTCACCAGCATTCTGCTGGCCTCTTGCTTTATGGTTAGAGTCGTTAAGCTTATTGACTGATCTCGGCTGTACTTAGCAGTAGAAATGACTTTGACAGGGAAATACACTACTGGTATCACAGAGGTATAAGCATGAAAGGCCTCTATCAGAATAGTGTAGACTTTCACTGGCAAACGCTCAGGTATTTCCCCCAGAGATGAAATCCTGTTTACACCATGGTTAGTGTTGGAAGTCGATAGATTTTATGACACTTTGTTAATTTCAACATTTTATCTGTATATTTGTACGTAAGCTTTAGTCTTTTTCAGTGGGGTTCATTTAAAGTTTTGTTTTTCCTCAAGGTGGTACCGCCTGAAAAATCAATTCCCTCTCTTATGTGCATCACAGCTTCATTTGTTACATTCTGGGGTTGATTTTTCACCTTTCAGTTTTCAACAATTGCCACTTTGAGACATGGGAGTGGAGCACAATGCAGTGTGTGCAGAAGCCACCAAAAGCACCAACCTGTGAGCTAATGAGAGGCCCCATGCTGTTATCTGAGGCTGAGGCTTCTCTGCCACTGCTGCATTTCTGTAAGGGGAGAGAACACACACCGGGCCACTGTTCGCATATGTCACACGCGTACGTTCTCCAAAGGAGGTTTCCTCGGGATGCAAAGGCTCACAGAAGTCTCCCATCTTACAGACGGCAGTGCTCATGTGCACGCATGCTCCCGCACAAACGCCCAGCAGACACGAGCGAAGGATTCAATAGCACCAAAGACCAAAATAAAGCAAAGGCTCAAATGACACCCTCCTGTGACTATTCCAACTGTAGCTGCCCCCCTTTGTCTCGTAATGTATCAAATGTTTAAAAAAAAAAGAACACTTAATTGAACACCCTCTCTCAATTTGTTTGTATTAAAGGAGAATGGGAGACGTGGGAAAACAGTTGTGTGTGTGTGTGTGTGTGTGCGTGCGTCTGTGTCTTTCCTTTGGGCTGGCTGTGCCTGTGCATGTGGGTTAAGCCCCTGCCGAGCACAGATGCATTATTTAAGATGCTGTTGTGATACTTGTGCCTGCTTAAAGGTCTCGGCTTCCTTTAAACACCCCGACGTGTCAGTCCACCTCTGCCCCACCAGCAGTGGCCCTGCTGGCACTGGTCTGCACATCACCTGAGAAAAATCCCATCAGGGGAAAAAAAAAAACTTATATAGATAACCTTTTCTTCTCCTTACGTTTTTTTTTCTTTTTTCTTTTCAGTAGTAGATGTTTTGCAGTTCAACTTTCTGTAATCTCTTATTTTTTTTTATTTTTGTTTTTCCATGCTATTTGTAAAAAGCATCATATTTTTAGGTGTGTGATTATATGTCAAGCTCCCCTAATGGTATTCATAATGCAGTAATGTTTACGTTTTTGCTTTTGCACGTTCTTAGAGAAACTATGACAAGATAAATAAAAGGCAGACTGCCAGTTTGAGACATTCACATTAAACTGGACATAAGAGTTATTAAATCCAACTTGCACTGTCTCTGCTCTCCTACTGGTGAAAAAACCTGTAATAGAACATAGTCTTCTAAATTGAATATAGTTAATTACTCTTCATGCTATGCCACCAGCCGTGTGTGCAGGGTGAAAAGAAAAAGCTTGGCAAAGTAGAGGGAATAAGCGTATGTAGAAGAACTTCAGGGCCCCTCATTACACTCTGCCCCTGGGTATTTTTACGCCTTTTATTTCCCATCTAATGAACTGTTTACATTTGTGTGCTTTCTAGGCGCCACAATTATTCGACTTGTCCTTGTGTCACTCGTAGCACAAGGCAGAAAGCAAGGAGGAGAGTTGGAGGGCATTAAAATAAGTAAATAAATCCCACTTTATTTTAATTTTAATTATGGGATATTTTTGAAGAACTTTTATTTTACATTACAAAGACCTTGATTATGCACAGCTTGAAATTAAAATTTAAAGGTCGCTGTTTTACAATTAAACATATGCTCTGCAAACAGATGTCTTTAAAACTGACTTTCCTCTTCATGGTTTATAGAGGAATTTTAAAAAATCTCCTTGTTTCCTTAGACAGTAAATACATCCTCACTGACTATAAAAGAATTGTTCACAAAGACAAGATCCATACATTTGTTATAATTAGATTAATATAATTTTCTTCTTAGAAGATTATGCTGAACTGATTAGCATATCTGATATGAATTGTTCTTCATGCATATGTAATTGTATTTTGACGGCCCAAAAAATTATGCTTTTTCCTTTTTCTGCTCTCTCTCTAAATCCTGTCTGCTATCATGTCACCAGAGGTAAAACGTGCATGTTTGACAGGACACCAGCACCTCCTTTGCCGCATTTGATGGGATGTGTAGAGTTTTTAAAGGCAGGCCACTTTGCATAAAGTTAAGATGTACCTTTGTACTCTTCTTGTGTGCTTCCGGGAATAGAAGCAGATTCTCACCCAAGATTTAAAAAAAGTGACAAAAGACAGAGCTTTCAAAAGGATTAAAAAAAGCTTCTTTATTTTCCTTGAACAATAAGGTATGGCTCATTCTTTTTTAAGATTACAAAGCCTGATTAGTTGGTTTCTAGTTAAGATGCAGAGCTGTCCACATACTGTAAATAGCTGCTTCTTATATTTTATGTTATAGCATATTATATTATATTATTGCTTGAGTAACTGATTTTCTGACCTAAAGAGTGACTTTCTTACTCCTAACCATTTCTGATCAAAATTAGTTGCCCTGTGAATCAGTCAGCTTTGCACCTGCTTATGATTTGCATCAAATGTGAAAGCTGTAATCGCTCAGGAATGTGTTGTTTTCCTGAGGGGGATTCCAAATACTGAGTGTGCACTGTAGATAGAGGGGATGTAGCGGCAAGACTTTTATTTCAATGACGTTTTCCATTCTTTATACTCTCTTTGTTATCTAGTCTGTTCTCGCTGCAGAAAGCCGTCATACTATTTAGAAATACAAAAAAATAAAACAAAAACAAAACCCTGCACATGGTTTGAAGGTGTCGTAAGCCTCGACATTCAAATCAATGCTCCTGCCAGGTTTCTTCGTCTCAATTACTGCTGAAGTTGTCTTTACCCCTAAGTTGCACTGCAGCTCTTTAAGATGAGACTAGACTTTAATGGAATGTGTGGGTGTTTTTTCCTGGCAAAAAGTGTGTGTGTGACGTACAAGTGTACATGCCGCCTTAATGTAGTCTTTATAGTTTTTCTTCTTTTAGTCAAATCTGCAATTACTTGTATTGTTCTTCCAAACAGCACCACAGTGACCCTTGAAATGGGGTGTAAATTGTACATAACAAGGAAAATAGATCATAAGAAAATTGTATTTTGTTGTGTTAGAAAATGCGATCATTTAAAAAAAAAAAAACGTAAATATTTAATGCAACTTTGTGCTGAAGGATAAGTTTCAGATGAAAAAGGAAGTGGAACATTTAGCATTGCGTTTATATGTTTAACACTAATGTGTAAACAAGGAAAGCTGATTTTCCTCTTCTTGGTCCTTTAGATTGGCTGTCATGTATTGTAGTAATTATATCAAACAGGAAATATAGTGATAGTGCAAAGGAGCAGATGGCAGAATCTCAAAACAACTTTTTTTTAATGCACTTATCAGGAGAGTGTGTTTAATTTCAGTCTAAGCTGCAAATCTTTTCTTTTGCACACAGTAGGTGTTCAGTGGTTGGCTTAGGTCCCCGTGGTTGAGTGTTGTTTGGGTTTGCTCTTTATCTAATGGGTTTTTGTGGTCTGGGTCAATCAGACCCTCTGTCTAGTCTGTAATTACTCCAGAGTACTGTGGTCCTCACCATCACGATAATAACACCCAAATCACATCAGCCATGACTTTCCACTCAGTGCTTTAGATTACGAGGAGAGACAAAAAAAGAAAAGGGGGAAAAAAAGAATCAGCTGCCTTGATTGTGATTGGTTCCCAAGTTATTTCAATCAAGGAACTTGATATCATTTCTCTGGAGGGAAGAATTGCTTTTTTAAAGTTTGGTTTATGCATTTCCCAACAAAAGTAGCATGAATATACAAAGTAAAATAACCCCTTCAAACTTTTACCGGTATATGTTGGATGGTAGGAAAGGAAAAAAATGTCCCATACAGATAATTGGTGGTTCGTCACTGTATGCTTGTTTTTATTTATTTTGCCTCAGTTGACTGTATAAATAAATAGCTTGGACATGTTTCAAATTAATTACAAAATAGATAAAGAAATACAGAAAATATTGTGTGTGGAAGGGGGAAAAAAAAAAAAGATATTTTCATTCTTCTTCTACTGTTTGTCTTTGATTTTGCCTGCCTCCTGTAGCCCACCTCGAAACCCTGTCAAGGCAGGGAGAGAAAGCGAAGAAGGCTTAGTAAACACTTTCTGTTTCTACTGCTGGTGTGTGTTTAGTTTAGAGGGCATGCCAAGAGGCTGTTTTTCCATGGGTCGGGCGTCTGTAAACAAGCAGTACAACGGCAGCCCACTCTTCTACAATCGGAGGTGGCACGCTCTTGAAGTGTGTATGAGATGTGTGTTTGTCTTTTTGGGTGTTGCTTTTTTTTTGGGTGAGACATGGCATTCCTCCTCATTGTAGCCTATCTGTAGACAGGAAGAGAGAGAGCAGCAGAGAGTTTGTGTGAGTCTCCGCGTGCGAAAGAGAGAGGCAACCCTAAATCCGATGGGCCGCCAATGGGTGATGAATTATTCCTTGTCTGACTCACAGCATTGGTGTTATCACAGAGGCTGCCACTGCACTGGGATGACAGCAGTGACAGCCCCCCAGAAAAGATTTAGCACTGACAAGTGATACTTCCTCATAATACATCTCCCTGGCCCTCTCTGCTGTCCCTCTGCTCCACAGCCTCTCCATACACTTAAGATTTTTTTTCAATCCCTCAACTTGTATTTGTTTAAGTGGGCAAGGTGGAGAGTATGTGTGTGTGCGTGTGGTGGTTTGGGGTGGGGTGGGGTGGGGGGGTTCATTTTACCAACATTTTTGTGCCAAAGAGCACTGTGTGTGGATCTCGGAAGGAAGCTTTAGTACACACCCAGACTAGTGTTTGCTGTCATTCCATGTGTTTTAGGGGTGCACACACACACATTCAGATACAAACAACCCACATGTATATGAAACAGTTTGTCACCAAGTTCCATTAGGGGGCTCTCGTGCTTAAGGAATGCCCGTTGTGTGTTTGCAGTCAACAGCAGTACTAAGCCATATTTCCCCACTTGTTTTCCCTTTTCTGTTTCTTTCTCCTCTTCTTCCTTTTGTCCCTCTTCCTCATCTTCCTCTCCTTGCAGAAAAGGTCACGTATCGCCTACAGTGATGAGGTGCGCAACGAGCTCCTGGGAGATGACGCCAGCTCCTCGGAGGGCCAGGTGAGGCGCTAATCACGGGCCCAAACGGCTCCAGTGTGGGTGGCTGACTGGCCCCCAGGGTGAGAAGGTGGGCCCCTCACAGGGGCCGTCAAGAGCTGAAACCACACTATTGTCACCAAGTCATGTGGAAGGAACAGTGTTTAATGCAAAGCTGGCCTGCCAGGGAGTGGGCTCAGGGCATGGGACCGGTGTCTGGTCAAAGCCAGATTGTGAGCAACACACACACGCACATGCACATCTAAACACAAGCACACAATTCAACATGAATTTCAATCCGAAACCCCAGCCTCCCCACTCCTACCGGCCCACATCTGTTCTCCAGCCGGGTGCCGACTTAGGCTCATAATAGATCCTCTAGATCAAGGTGCACACATACACATACGCACCCGAACACACAGAATTGCTAAATATTGTCCTCTTGTCTTTTTGTAAACTCCAGTGGTGGCAAGCTTGCTCTGTAGAGATACTTAAAATGAATGGCAGCTTTACACTCTGATGACTAACAAAAAATTCTGCAATGTCTGAAGCGGTATGCCAAAGAAATGTAACGTCCTCCTCAAGAAAAATTCTATTTTTCTGTTTATATTCTATCAGCTTTTTCACAATTGGTTTTGGGTATATTGAACGATGATATGTTGTGATTGCAGCAAAGCCTGTTGAATCTGAATGTTGAATTATAATTCACAGATAAAGCACAATAGAAATGGTTTTAAATGTTAGTAATCTCTAGAAAGGATTTTTTTTTAACACACCAGCTGTTTGTGTCAATTATTAAGTCAAAACAATTAC